GCAATCAGTACATTTTAAAATTATATTCTATTTTTTCAACAAAAACATCTTAAAATCATTATAATTCTTAAAATATGAAAAAAGAAGTTGAGAAAAAATACAATTGTCATAAAGAATGAGAAGATAATAAATAATTTATAGGTACGTATTATAATGGGTACGTTGTTGACAGATATAGTGTTTTATTTATCATTTCACGTCTTGAGGTTACGTACTAAAAATCTTTACAAAACATTTTGTGGTTAAAATTTATCATTTTCTTTCCCCAATCTTTTCATCAGTAAATAGTTGTAAAATTTTAAGTAGTTTAGCAAAGTAAGTATTTCTATGGACAATTTAATAATGGTACCAATTGTTATTGATATTTTGACAAAAGTGAAATAACTTTCTAGTTTTTTTGAAAGGAAATATTTTCCCAAGACTTCCTGAAATTCATTTGACCTGATACAGCTTTTCAATTATGTAATATATATGGTTTGGTGACGTCACAATTCCGGGGAAGTTTAATTTATTAATTTATTAATTTATTTATTAATTTATTAATTTATTAATTCATTAATTCATTAATTCATTAATTCATTCATTCATTCATTCACTCACTCATTCATTCACTCACTCACTCACTCACTCACTCACTCACTCACTCACTCACTCACTCACTCACTCACTCACTCACTCACTCACTCACTCACTCACACACTCACTCACTCTATTTTATTTTATTTTATTTTATTTTATTTTATTTTATTTTATTTATTTATTTATTTATTTATTTATTTATTTATTTATTTATTTATTTATTTATTTATTTATTTATTTATTTTTTTTTATTTTATTTTATTTTATTTTATTTTATTTTATTCATTCATTCATTCATTCATTCTATTTATTTATTTATTTATTTATTTATTTATTTATTTATTTATTTATTTATTTATTTATTTATTTATTTATTTATTTATTTATTTATTCATTCATTCATTCATTCATTCATTCATTCATTCATTCATTCATTCATTTATTTATTTATTTATTTATTTATTCATTTATTCATTTATTCATTTATTTATTTTATTTATTTATTCATTTATTTATCCTTATTTCACTCTGCGATCGTGCTTGTCAACCAAATGTTGTCCTTTTCCTTTAGTCCACATGATGGCTAATTATCTTCATTTTCTATTTGATTATTTATCTGAGAATGTACTTGATAAAAATATTTTAACTTCGCTTCATCAAAAGTAACTTAATTATGAAAGTATTTAAAAATAAAAGCTGTTTATTGAAAGAAGGGATGAAATGAGGCGAGGTGGAAGACGCCCTCTCTGTGGGAGATAAAATTAAAATGGTTAAAGTGACTTATTTCAACTGTGTTTATGTTTTTCAATTATTTGATTAAGAAAAAGATAGAAAGATGGTAAAAAAGCGAAACAAAGAAATGAGTCATTTAAAGACGGGTAGTTGAAGACTAACATATGTTGAAATTCATTCGTTAAGAAAACAAGATCATTACACTCGGTCTTCATAGGAACTCCGCCATCTTGTACCGTCTTGATTAGCCTTAAACAGAAGTCTGTGTCATTTTGAGATACGCTACAAAAAGTTGCTGCTTAAAAAGTCAATACCTGATTTTCAAATTGATGACCATTGATTGGTTGTAATAATGATATTGACCAATCAGAGGATTTTTAATCACATCGTTACAATGAGCGTCCTTTACGAGGTGTTTGCTTCTAGGCCTACTTTTGTTTTGTTTTTAACACAGAGAATGTGCTTTTTGAACACAAGGTAATGTTTTTTTTTGTATCAGAAGCGCCTGATTTCAGAACTTTTAATTGGACTATATGAATGCTTCAAGGTTGAATTGCGATTGGCCAGGACCATCTTCTGGTCAATACAAAGGCTTGAGAGCAATTTAATTTGCGTTGCGTTGCTTTGCGTTGCTTTGCGTTGCCCAGAATTTAGGCCAAATGGTTTAGAACTCATGTCGAGTTGTGCTGTTCACTGAGAAAGAAAATAACGACTGACTACGGAGATCAAATATATGAAATGTATACTACTTGGCGTAAATTACCGAACGAGAATGTCAATAAGTAATTTACATTGCCACGGTGTATGAAATGCACTACTTTGCCGTAACGAATGCCATTTAGCACCTGTTCGGAGTCATTGAGATGTTGTCAGTTAGCCGTCACACTTCTCCTATCTCGACATTCTTGATACGCTTAATGTAACATCTTATTGATGAAGATAAGAAAAATAATTATGTTTTTTCACGATGGAGTTAGAAACGAGGGTAAAATAATACCCGTCATTAAAAACAAACAGAGTTAAATTAGAGAATGAGATTTACAGGGTTAATTTCTTACGGTGGATGAGTTTGGACGCAACAGGGTTAATATTCCAGTTCTTTTTTGAAAATTATCATTGCTTGATAACGACAAGAGAATCCTAATCGAAACTTCGCTTAAATAAAATCGGTATTGCGTTATCTCTATCGAAATTAACTTAATGTCATTTAAAGTGATACTACGTCTTAGAATGAACATAAAATTTAAGTTCTCAAGAATGGTCAATATGAGTATATATTTATCAGTTAACTTACCTGGTGTCATGAAGTTACAATAGAATACCTTTAAAATCTGGAAAATTCAATTAATGAAAAGCGCTTTATCATAATATAAAACGTTTTTCAATAGTTAATTGCATTTTTATTAATTTTTTTGGATTTATCGGATTATATAAGGATCCTGTTATGTTATTTATGACACCAGGTACTGATCTACTGATGAATATATACTCATATTAGCCAAGTCTAAAATTCTTACATTTTATGCAGTATTCCTTTAAGCAGATTCTGAATTTCAGAAAGATGATGGCCATAAATTTCTATTCTAGCCAACAAATTTCTAATTTTCTTAGATCGTACCATCCATATATGAACACAAAACAGTGAACAGGTGAAGATATATGTCTAACCAAATGGGCTACAAGGGATACATGGTGGTAACTGTAAAACCTATGTTAGTACTTATGTTTTTTGGGTGTTTAGCAAGCTAGTTATGATTATCGGTACTTCAAACACAGCCATTGACCATACAATAACACCTGTTGGTACATTAGAACATTAAAGATCCATTAATCTTGAACTTTGGCTTCAGAAAGCAGCAAGGCAATTGAATTGAATCGATATCGGGTTTTGAAAAGGCCTTGTGAATTTCGAAAATACAAGATTTGAAACCTGTTTAGTAAAATGCGACAGTCATCTCAGCTGATACCGGAAATAGCTGAATACCTTCCTTACTTATCTGTAGTATGGTACTTTGGACAAAGCTTGAAAATTTGATTAACGTTAACTGAGAGAAATAGACGAAGAATTTCGTTTCAGACGTCGATTTGGGATTACAAAATGAAAGCACAAAATGACAAGACTTGAAAGCTGCAGAATTTAGATCCAGTCGTGGGTTTGAAATACTCAGCAGTAACCGGAAGTAGCATCAAGCCATCAATATTAGATACGTCTGAAAAGCCTAAATATAGGAATATTATATATGGAATATACTAGAAAGCGGAAGGAGCAACAAGCCACTGCGCATGGTATCTACATAGGTCAAGTCTTAAAGGCCATGAATTTAGACGTCGATTTGAGATACTCGTGGCAACCGGAACTAACAGTGTCATCTTTAATCTGCGCGTGGTATCTTCAAAGGACATGGTATTGGACAAAACGTGAAAGACGCGGAACTCAGACTCAAACGCCGACTTGAGAGACTCTGTTGCAACCGGAAGTAGCAACAAGCCATCTTTAATCTGCGCATGGTATCTTCAAAGGACATGGTATTGGACAAGACGTGAAAGACGCAGAACTCAGACTCAAACGCCGACGTGAGAGACTCTGTTGCAACCGGAAGTAGCAAAAAGCCATCTTTAATCTGCGGATGTTATCTACAACTCATTATTTAATCGCTTCCAATTATATATGATGGTGCAAACAACGTTACTCATAAACAAAACATTCTGTAACGGGAGATAACTCTTAATTAATTTACCAGCGGGAAAATATGCAGAAACAATAAATTGTGTTTTATCGTTCTGAATCTTAGAATCTTGACTTATGTCAGAGTCTTTGAGAGTGTGATAAAAGCTAAAAAATCTGACAGCAATCCATTCTTTCTTCAGCAACAGTGGTGAATTTATTATTAAACAAAGTTACTACGTTTCTATATGTAAACAATTAAGAGACGAGATGTGTTAACATGTGTTCAAGGTTATTCCATTAAAACTTGACAAGATCAGTGGTGAGGCAAGTGGGGGTAGTTGGGGGAGAGGTGCATTTGAATAATAATATGTCCTCCAAATTGAATCCCCACTTGAAGAAATTTCAAAACAGGATTTTTATAGTTTCGAACTATGAAATGTAAGTATGTCTTAAAGTATGTATCAAATCAAATTTTTTGAAAGTTTTCTTTGGGTGGGGGCAGGTTATTGAATTCTCATCCTCGATATCACCCACCGCCACCCCCGCCCGCTTTAAGTCAGTCTGCGCCTATGTGTACCCCCATTTCCATGAGACTGGCGCCGCCAATGGATAAGATATAGATCTAGTTGAGAGTAGAAGATATTTGACAACACCTAACCACAACAAATAGATCTGATCACCTTCAACAACTCCTATACTCTAGTTACACTGAAACAATATAATGTTACCAATTGATTATAGCAATTCTAACCCACATCCACCTGCTTCAATTTATCACAACAGCTCATGTTATATAATCCTAATGTTTACGGCAAGGTGCAGTTACACTTACTATAAATCACTGATATGGCGGAACAGGATAAAACTAAGAGAATAATATTGTATACTTCTACAGGTGTAAGTAAGTCTTCAATCTACTAGAAGCCCGAAATTTCCTTAAAAGTTTTGCATTTCACCGGATGCCCCCAATTCAATAAGGTTTACATTTAATGGATCTTATTTTGCTGACAGTTAAACTTACCATAACATGGAATCTTGTGCTCCCCGGAGTTTAAATGGATCAAGAAATTTTCGTACTGCAAGGGATTGGGAGTCCGAACCTGTAACATCCTTGGATAGCCATGTCTCTCCGTTCGAAAAAGTTTGTCAAAGGAAAATTCTCTGAAATAATCAAGTCACAATTGCAAATATAGCAACGTGTTTGGATTTTATTATATAATTCTCACCATCATCCATCCATGTGGTCAACAGAAACCGGAAGTCCCACTTTTAGTCATATGTATTGTGAAATAACACCAGATGGCGCTTCAGATACTTTATGCATTCCGGATGGCAGCCACAATGCAATGTGCATTATTTAAAATGTCCCAAATGCAATACAGAAAGTGTATATATAAAGATGTTATCAGAATCTGTTTATATTTGATTTGACTTACAACCTTCTTCTTAATGAGAACTTGAACTCAACCGCAACAAAACACAAACTGATACGTTGGGTGAGATAGAACTCTTCACAAGGGAGGTAGAAACAATAGGTCTACTTGACTACCATGTCCTGTGGGGATACGATGAATAATAAACGTAAAGATATCATTTCGTGTATTCTATTGTCTTTTACTCTTTCTTATCACAAATTTTAATTAAATACGACAAAATCGGGCACGAATCACGTAACAACGTGAAACACATTACGCCATTTTGGTGATAACGGTTGTCCATACAACGTTTGGTCGACAGATGGCGTCATAAAATGATTAGCAGAACTGAAAGTTACACTATCACCAGCAGACGTAAGACGACTCGACTGTGGGAAATAATTCTATCTACTATGTTTATTTTATGTAAAATATGGCCATGCAACAAGTGTTGATGATAAATGCCACAGACCCTCGGAGACTTCAAAAGCCATGTGTTTAACTTCCTCGTTACATTTATGTTGATTGTAAAAATAAACTGAAGGGGGGAAGTGTAGGGTGTAATAAAACTTTATGAATTGTGTTAAATTGATATGATTGAAATGAGATTTTTTCAGAGATTAATTATGATAGATTATGAATAGGAAGGTGGGCCTTATCAACCACCGTTTCTTGTGACACACAATTCGAAAGGGGTGAAATGAATTGTGTTTATTAGACATGATTTGAGGGGGGTAGCCGAACCCTCTGCCCCCCCCCCCCCCTTTTTTAGTACTTAATATGTAGGCTACTGTAGGTTTAGTTTAGTCAATCTGTATTTTGAAATATTGATGGTGATCATGAGGGCGGAGAGCTCCATCTATTGAGATGCTGGTCGTATTTCTGTTATTTCGTTTTTTAAGGCCTATTCCGTTTTGTTCTGTTCCTTTAGGCTACTTACCTTCTTCTCAGGTCTGTTTAGTTTTTGTACATTGAAATTAATCTACAGTACAGGGTGTAATAAAAAGAAATTATTTTTATATTGTGAATAAATCTAAATGTTGTTTTAATGTTACTTGAAGTTTATTATAATGAGTTACCTCCCCTCTACTGCACGTGCTATAATATATGATGTTTACACCTGCCTGATATAAATAATCAGGTAGTGTTTATAATTAGATTAAATTAGCCGTGGAATAGGCCCTGTGGCACGAAAATAGTAGGTAACAATCTCTCTTAAAGACATGAGGGTGCCTCTTGATGCGCTTTCGTCAGGAACGGACTAAGGACTGACAAATTTCAGCTCAAATTTACCAACTTGTGATGTCACTCCGTGAACAAATACTCATTAATTCTCATATTCAAATCATTTCTCAATCCAGTTTCACATTACAATGTAATTTTCACAAGCAGAAGTGAAAAAAAAAATTCTGAGAAAATCTTGGAATTACAATGTTCCATCGATTTTCAGAATAGAATTTAAATAAAAGCAATATGGTGGTTGTGGAATAACATTTTTATGGTGGTTCTTTGATTAGTCTGTCAAATATCCGAGTGGTCATGGGGCCCTACCCCTATGATTCCAAAAAATAAATTTGAATTAAGAGATTTCTTTTGTCCCTTTGACTTTATTGAGTAGGCTACTCATGGCTTCTCAAGTTTAATTTAACCTGCTTTTTATTTGACACTTTATAGATTTCTACAAGCAATGGAGATTTTTCTGTTTCTGAAATTGCCTGCTTTACTGACCTGCTTCGTAACGTCTCATTTAGGATCAAAGTTGAACAGGCTACGCCTAAACTATTTTGGTTCGACAATTCAATACCCGGTGAAAACACATCTTCTGCTGGTTTCATTTAAATGATTATATCCCTTTATGTTCCATGTATTCACCCACGTGTTATAGTGTTGTAGGAATATCGAGGGTCAAATTGCAACAGGTTTTTCCTAAAATATCTGGGAGAAAATCATGACTCACAGATTCTATCTGATGGAAGAAATGTAATGGTTAATTGTTAGTTTACAAGTGAAAAGTTCGTTGATATCAAAGACTAGATAACTATATTCCTTTAAATGTCATGTTCCATGTTTTCACCCACGTGTTATAGTGTTATAGGAACATGTCAGCATGTCATTTCCTTTAATCAAGGTCATGCCAAAAACATCGTTTTAATTAAACCATTTAATTAGAATTGTCACCTAACCAAGCTATCAACCAAGATAAAATCTAAAGTAGAAAATTCGGTAGAAGATTACTTCTTATCTATATTAAACATTATTTCGTTTTGGGTTAAGCGCCATCACCAATTTCCCACCAACCGCGACTAATTGCAAATCATGAAATGATTCCCTATTAATGCTTGCGAGACGAAATAATTACATTTTTTTCCCTATTAGCAAATTACTTAGGGATACAGACTGCAAAAGTTTGCCACCCACTTCCCCATTTCAAATTTATCATTATATACTTGGGCCTGACTGAGGGCTAAGACTGACTGTGAGTGAGACCACTGGACGATCCTGTGGCCTTTACTCATCTCTCTTACCCAATATCTCCTTGAAGAAGGTAACTGAAACCATTTAAAGAGAGCGGTAATATTTTTTTACCATCTTAATTCCAATATCATTATCTATATCTTTAATGTAGGATACACGAGATACACTCAAAATGATAAAATCTCTCATTAAAACAGAGACATACAACTTTCATTAGTTCCAGCCTATAAAACCATAATGAATGTTTTGACGTCTCTGAAATAACTTGTTTGATGACAAACTCTCAAAAAGAACATGTTTAATAAGGAATAATGTTAATATCGTAATAAAAATATAAACTTGATATTAAATATAATTTAATTATTGAATAACATGTAGACAAAGAAATACCTTGACATTTTAGCAAATGAAACTATGTGTCTTCAAAATGTTGGCACGTGTACTGCGCCCCATCTCTGCTATCATCACCTAGACCGTTAGTAGAGATATATTCTAGAATGTTTATTTGTTTCTGGACCATTTAAGGCTTCTACACATCATTCCAATTTGCTGACTGAATGCTTAGTTTAAGTGGAATTTTAGGAACTACAGACTGAAAATTGGAACAGTACTATTAGAGTCCAATTCCGCAATTTTGTGTACCACGCCAGACAGGGTACGTGGTTTCGTTTGACCTTGAACTTTGGCTGTGTCCAGACAAACTGACCCCCAACAGTTACAATAATGAAACTTACTATTTTCAGAAATGGAATTTGGCCCCTAATATTTTATATTTACAGGCGGCATGCCAGAAATATAGGAATTGAATTATACCCAGTTTTATATCACACTTGTTCATAATGACAGATAAGGGATCTAGTGCTCCAAGTTAAATGAACAAAAATCAACCCTTTTTACAAGGATAACAACTTTAATAGTTTTAAAAGGCCCTGTGAACAAAAAACTTGTTTACCGGCTGGTCCTTGGTCAAACCTCTTGGCAATGAACCCCCCGGATTATCTATACGCTTGGTAGACTAGAATTATGAGTAAATATGACTTTCACACGCAGAAAAAGATTAGAACCCACGACCAGCATTTGTTTGACGTAACCATGCAATTTAGAATTGAACAGTCCCGTTTCAAAATTCAAAATATACAAACGATCATTTAATACTAGACAACGTGATTTTAGTCAGAGACCCCCTTCCATAATGTTATAATTTCATCAGAAATCACAAACCTGCACTCTCTCTAACATGTAATCCGACATCCGGTACCAAAGCAGCTTATCTATAGTTAATTAACCTCTCTAAACCGACAACCCCCGTCTTCATTAGCCCACATGGTGCAGGACGTAAAACTCCATTTCATTTCATTTCTAAACCGACAACCAAAACTACAGACTGATTACTGGTTTAGTCACAGATCCTCTTCCATAAACTTTTTATTTTCATCAGAAAACAGGAACTAATGGATAAAATCTTTAAGATAATTGACAAACTTTCAGTACCGGTACACTTCGGTCAAATTCTAGAAAAACTAATTTAAATGAGGTACAAAATGTTAAAAATGTGACTGTAACTCTCAAATCTTTTTCAATTTTTCGGTTCCCCACTTTCAAGTCTATATTTAAGATAGGTTGATAATAGTCTATATTATTTATGACTATCAACAATGTAGTTTAGTGTCTAGTGAGATGAGAATCTACTTCAGAACAGGTACACCACAAGTTAACTGTCAATCTAAATTTCAGATTATAATACAGACCCGCCGTCAACTTTTTCTTCTGGGTATTTTAGTTTTTTTTTCACAAGAAGAAGATGGAAGATTTAAAGGGGCAGTTGTACCATTTTTTGCCCAATCATACCATAATCTCAGAAATTGGAATTTTTTTTTAGCTAGGCTATAATCAGTGATCACAGTTCACCGTCGAAATTTGAGCCACCAAATCCATGTAAATCCAGAATTATCTGCGACTCGTCAATTTAAGATACTCTGTGATATATATTTAAACAGACTCAATACCCAGAACTGTCCTTCATGTAAAGCTTTGAGCGTCTTGAAAAACTAATGATAAATAAATAGGACTGAAGAGAGGTTTTCAAATTGGTGAATATGAAGAAATTACTAGTTATTACCTTAATAATTAAGATTATTGAAATATATTTTCAATGAAAATGCTGCAAATAAAAACCCTTTGACCGAACAGTATCCATTTAATTGATATCAAAAAATTCCATAACTCAATTAACTTTAAAACCTTTTTTTAATGAAAAGATTTTTTTTTGTTAGAAATAAATAACTTGTAGACAAATTTGAGAAAAAAGTTTACCCGGGATTGTTCCTTTACCGGTGACTCGTCTGCAGAAAAGAACTTTTGTTTGTAACTGTAAGCGAATTTGAGAAAAAAATTGCGCTTTTAATAGTAACATTACTGGGATTGCACCTTTAACAGTTACACGCTTTCTTCTTCTAGAACCCACACGACAAAATCTACATTTAAGAAGAAAAGAAGTCGTTCTTATTGACATAGTAAGATTAGTCATCTACATTCAGAAAAAATAACTGGAGGTAATTTTCCAGTCCAGTGGCAACCACGGCACCGTCTCGTCTCGTGATAATATTCTTAACGAGTGACATGGTACTAGTCTTAGGTTGTTACCCTTCTTAATTTCATTCTAAAATAAAATATATTATTCTTATACATTATTTGAATTTCATTGAGATTCTGGTGATTTACTGACAAAGAACAAAATAGATCACACCTTTTATAAAAACATTTTAAAACGGTACAATATTGGTACATCATGTACAGACAGTAGCGTATTTAGGGGGAGGGCTTGTGCTTCTTTTGCCCTTTGATATTTCCCTGTGGACAGATAAAGAATAATATCACCGATTTCTGTATAATGCTCAGGACTCCACCACAGAAATAATAAACATTGTACTTTTCTGCTCCTGACGAGATTCACAAGCGGGCAACGCCGTATATTGTGCAATGAGGAAACTGTTGCTAGGACAGCGACATAAACCGTACCGATATTGTAGCGTAGTGTTGAGTGACGTCACATGATCAATATGTAACTCTGCGAGATAAAATTCAAAATTCTTGATGATAGTCAGAGACATAAGCTTAAAACTGGAAGAAGGGAGGTAACTGCATATTCTTCGAATATTGAACTACTACAATTAATTCTTTGTCTCAAACTTTTTATTCCTTTCAGACGAAATAACTGGGCACAATTACTGGACATGATAACTGGACATGATAACTGGACATAATAACTGGACATAATAACTGGACATGATAACTGGACCCAATAACTGGACATAATAACTAGCAAGGAAGATATGAAATGGAGCTTTACGTCCTATTTGTCAGCACCTTCGGACTAAGTAAGAATGATATGCAACCCTATCGTCTAGCTAAATCGACTGACTTTAGATATGGGTTGCTTTATGTATAATGATAGCGCATCTCATTATTGTTTTGGATCCTAGGAACCGTGGTGGCCCAGAGAGTTAGACGCTTGCTCGCAACCTTGGGGTCCAGGGTTCAATCAGGTTCAAGACAATACCCTCAGATTTTTCAACTCGGTTTCCCCTTAGTTATGTGTTACAGACTGTTCCTTCGACAGTTGGAAATCGAAAAGGAACAGGCTAATGCAGCTGTCCTGGTGAAATTTCCCTCCCCGTACCCTGCATGGCATTGCCCGTCTCCATTAGCTCACATTGTGCAGAAAAGTAGGACGTAAAACTCCATTCATTTCATTTTGTTTGGTTCCTGACATAAATGAATATTCGAACCATATCTTCATAATATATAAAAAAGATATCAATGCTGCAAAAACAACTCTATATAGAGAGCTATATAGACACAGCTTTATGGAACAACAAATACTGAGGAAACATGTCGAAACGTTGCATAAAACTTTAACCAGTGATTGTTGTTCCATAAAGCTGTGTCGCTAAATGCCATTCAAAGACTTTATAGGCCTCTATAGAGCTGTAAATTTGACTTTTTGATATTTCATTCTATTAGGCTTGAGTATTGTTTGAGATAGGAAGAGCAGTCGATATCTTGTCTTGGTCTTAGATAGAAGCCCTTTGAGGTGCTCACAACATAGCGATTACTAGTTGTGTATGGTTGTAAATAATGAAAGTGGTCATTAGTTCCGAATGCAACTCAGTAGTATGTGAGATGCGTTCGAAATTGATGACCAGTATCCATATACAACTGGTGATCGCTATGGTGTTATTAATGCCACTTCAGTCATACCACTCATTTTTATTTTATGGACGTTTCATTTCTTACGACAATTTTATAACTACGTACTTTACTGTAAGAAATAAGTGAAGGTTATAAATTGTTCTCAGAACAGACAGGAAATCAGTCAGATAAAATCGTGCCTCTTTCTCAATGTAGGTACTTATCTCTGCCAGGTGTGAATTTCTCAAAATCTAATTAAATTCCGGTTCGATTTATCAACTAACGTAGTTCAGATTAACTAAATTCCGTTACTGAGATTTAGGGATTTTTAGACATTAAAATGCGTGCGACAGCGACGTTTCACGAGATGGGGACCATGTAGTGGCTACACGATGGGACTCGCAGACTTACCTTTGATAAGAAATTTTAAATCTGAACTAGGGTAGGAGGAAGGCGTGGGGAAGGCGTGGGGAAGGGTGGGGGGGGGGGGGGGCGGAGGGTCCCTCTGGTCCAGGTATTGTATCCCATTTTGTATATGCAATCCATCAACTCTATGAAATTGTCATGTATTAGAAAAGGTGTCTAATTGGCAGGATCATAGACACAAAATCTCAACTCATACTAGCTAGCATTCCGACCATATTGGCCCCAGCGGATTGTTTAGTCGGATTGTCACCTGGGAAAGAGTCAGAATAGAATGGAGCATTTTCACAGAGGTCACTGCACTATTCAAAAGGCGAATCCTCTCTTTTGAAGAAATGTCCTGTAACAAAATTTATACTATTTAATTTGAGAAAACAGCCTATTCTTGCGAAAGAGAACATTTCAGATAGGTACATAAGCACTCAGTAAAAAAGAAATCTGTTGAAATTAGTCACACAATTATCATTTTGTTTGTATTTCTATTTTGTGATGACATTCAGCAGAATAATATTTGATGGTCACAATGTGACGAGGCTAGATTGTCAGGAACAAAGTAAGAACCAAATCCCCATCTTTTTATTACGAACTTCGTCCTATCCCTTGACAGTAATAGATAACGATTTTGTATCACGCATGCAGCGATTTGATTGGATTTCCCACCAGCAAATACCTCTGCCGTAAGCCCTGGACAAAAGACTGGTGGTTTAGATATTTTCTGTCGATGGCTCTGATTGGTTGTATTGGATAGTGTACAATCCAATCAAATTGCTGCATTTACAAACTTCCGTGATACAAGAACGGTTGCTATTGCAGTCACGGTATTATACACAGTTTGTGAGGGAATGCACTGTTACGGTATTCTATTCAAATGACTATGTACGTACACCATTGATTAGTTTTCTTTGATATTTAGATTGTGTTCAACCAGGTAAGTATATAATGCTAATTCCATTGATTACACGTAAATAATCAGTCACAGATGGAAGTCAAACACTGAAAAATGTCGAAGTTATTTGGAATAACAATTTTGATTTATAGAGAACATGTCACGTTTACAATTCTGACATTTTTTTGATGAAAAGTCTCCGTTAGCCTTCTACTTTGATTCAGGAAGTAAAAATTTTTTAGATTTTTTAACATCTAATTTTGAACATAGGCTACTGATAACATTACATATGTAGGTTTTATTTGCACTATTCCGATTTCTTGTCCTTAGTCCAGGGTTTTTTAATTCTTCAAATCACTCGGCTATATCAAGAAGTCATTGTTACAATATCTATTAAGTTGGAATGGAACAGACGTAATCCATATCTTAATTGATTATTCAGCCATCTTTCGACAAGTACATCTCGCATAACGGTACTTTGTACTAAATAAGAAAGATACTTTACCATATATGGAGATTGTCATTAAACCTATTTCAGATGATTAAATGGCTACAAACAGCAGTGACGGCGCCATTCGGGAGAGGCGTGCGGGGTACAGGATAGCCTTCACTAGAAAAATGGTTTGCACCCCTATTGTATCCCCACTTTATTTTCAGCAAATTAATAAACATGATTTTTATACGTTTTTGCCCCAAACCAAATACTGTATTATTTTCTTCGGAGAACCCTTTCAGACGCTCTATGAACCTTATGAGAGGCTTACGACTATGACGCCTCCACAGAGTTGCCGCATTTGTGTCAGTCTGCCCCTTATATGTACCCCCTGTTTCGGGAGGGTGGCGCCGCTACTGGCAAAGATAGTTTCTAGTCTTTATATAGCTTTCATTTGGACCATTTCAATATCTCGTTTCGTGACCGAGAGTCCTGTAAGAACACCAGATCATCTATATACACTAATCTTCAAGTATAAGCGCATGAAGTTCAAGTTGCTGATGCATTCTTCTGATTGGCCATTGCGGAAAACGTGCGACAACGCTACTTACTTACTATGTCATTATGCAGTTGACCTAAAATATGCCACCATAATGAAATAGAAATGATTAAGCTGAGAAATATTGACAAAGATATTAGAAGCGGTGAATTATAATAATTGGTCCACTTAGAATTGTGTAACTACCTTTGTCTGTGGGTAATTTATAGGTATAAACATTAAGTAATAAAATTCCATTGGGTTGAGTCGGTCGTTACAAAGGTAATAGTCACCCCACAAATTGGCATTAGGTGTTTAGAGCCTGGGCCATAATGTTATATTATTTGCTGTTTCTGGTCCCAGTGGCTAGCGCCTTGCTCTTCCCGGGTATGTATTGCAAACTTTTTATTAACCCTGCTTTAATAATATGGAGGGCCACAAGGAAACGTTGCAGGGTGTGTCTTGTTCTCTTGGGATTGGGATAGTTGCAAGATTCTAAAAACTTTCCTTTCTGTATGCAATAAAAAAACGGAAAACGTTATAGCAGCCATTTGTCATCATCTGTTCATCTCATTTTTTGGTGACTAATATTGTAAGGATGGTTGGTGACATACAATTTGTTACCTGATGATGCAGGAAGGCTCCAGAGAGTTCCAAATCTGATGATTTTGCTGTTTCAATCGCCAACGCCAATTTTATGTGAAATAGGTAAAATGTGGACTGATGGTGAGAAGGTGTTTGTTTTGGGAGTGGATGTAAATTGCCGCATCTTAATGAAGATTCAAAGTTAGAATATAAAGCTGATAATGAAGTAGATAACTACTGAAACGCATCATCACCAACATAATTAACATTGCCCCGGAAAATATGATAAACTTTTCTGTCTTTCTGTCGATTGGTTGTATTTGCTATCGTGCAGAGCAATCGAGATGCTGCTTTTAAGAACTTCGGAGAATAGTGCATACTGACATCAATAAGAAATATCGTAATACCTTGACATTGTGAAGATATCCCTGTACGTGCAAAACAACCATTGATCTACTATAGAATACTCTGTTACTTTCTTCTAGGTGAGAAATGTGGAGGGTATATCTGTTTAAACTCAACATTACACGAAGTTAATTGTAAAGATGGCGTCTGTAACTGTAATGAAGGTTACTATGGAAACGGCAGGTTTCAGTGTGTCAAAAAGAGTAAGTATCTTTAAAAAAAAATATGATAATAAGTATGGCTATGAATTAAAAATGTAATTCACTTCCAAGTTCAATCATTGCAAATCTGTTGGCCTATTTCTAAAAATAATTCACATTATACACCACCCATAAACGTTGACATCGACTACCTTGGTGAAATTAAAATCGCTAGGACCGCACGACAATTTCCATGGCGTTTCTTATCTTCTGTGCACAATAAAGTGCCGATTTGAATGACAAGAAACTTAACTTTCATTTGATTAGATGAAGCAGTAAACAAATTCTTCATCCATGCCAAGACAGAGTACAGTCATCTGAATATCCCGCCACTTTCCATGACAATTCTCCTCTTCCATGCACAGACAGTCGCAGAATTGAAGAAAGTGAAAATTCAAAGCAGTCAAGCATTCTTCATCAATGTTAAGACCCAAAATAAGTAATCTTAAAAACTGGCCATAATTTTGTTTTTCAGGTACGGCCTGTGTCTGCTATCTCTATGGTGATCCACACGTGACAGCTTTCTCTGAGGCTGTAATAAAAATTCCGTTACCATGTCGTCATATCCTGTCGGAGTTTATTACGCCCACTGGTGTGTCCGTCAAGGTTGCAGCCTTGGGTGTAGAAAGTAGTGAGGGTATACCCGGGCTAATCTATGAAGAACAGATCTACTTTGACGCATCCAAAGGTACCACGACCGCTCATGCAAATATCAGACGATCTGGATTCTATGTGAGTCAATTTCTCCGTGATCATTTTTAAATCAGACGATTACTTATTGACATCTCCACACTGTCAAGCTTTTACTTATACCTTGACTGAAATAGCAACCTTTCTTGAGTCAAATCTTCACAATGTCAAGCAATTACGAACTTCATCTTCACAATGTCAAGTTATTACGAATATCGTACTTTTACCTTGACTGAAATAGCAACCTTTCTTGAGTCACATCTTCACAATGTCAAGCAATTACGAAATTCATAGACATTTGTAAATGAAACGATAAGATGACAGCGAATACAGCCAAAATGTTTTCAGTATTTCAGTTGAGGACTCTGATAGGCTGTATTCGCTGGCGTGTAATCCAATCAAATCACTGCATTCCGTGATAAAAGGTATAAGTATGGAGCTCGTAAAAGCTTGACATTGTGAAAATGCAGTATTGGGTGTTATAGAAGATACTTTCCTATAGAAGCACTGGCCATGATAGCCTGCTCTTTCAAATCTCAAATTTAGGTTGAAATTATTGGTTCCGGAAAGACTAGCAAAGCTCAGTTACGTCGTTGACATAGAGCCCGATTGTAGCTACCTATATCCCTATACAGAAAAAGAATCCCACATCAGGTTAATCTACAATCAAATATGTTATTCAAGGTAATTCTTATACCATCCTCCCCTCCTATTTGACACATTTTTGACATTTATTTGAAAATAATTCAGATTTTTTATTTCTATTCAGAACAAAGGTTTGCATATACCACTTCCGGTTCGTGAGAATTTCCCAGATATAGGGTTAACGGTGTACGGAGAAAACGAGTCACACTATTGGAGACTCGAACTACCCCGGCATAAAGTTATTGTTAGGTATAGGTAAGTAAGACTTCAATATTATCAAGCTACCTGTCATTATTAACATCTGTTTAAATTATAAGTGAACAGATTATTGAAAAGGCTAATGGGCTTTATAAACGTCTGGATAACATTCAGTTGAAACCCCAAGAATAAGTAACCGACCTATTTCACTACAATTTGGCGTTTATTTTTCTTAAATTTGTACAGTAGTTTTCTTACACTTGCACCAAAAACATAGCGATCGCATTAAAATTTTTTCATCATTTTATCACAATAAAATATCATAATCATCATCATAATGACAAATTACATCATCATAATGATCAATTCCATCATCATAATGATCGATTACATCATCATAATGATCGATTACATCATAATGATCGATTTCATCAACGTAATGACTAATTACATCATCATAATGATCAATTCCATCATCATAATGATCGATTACATCATCATAATGATCGATTACATCATAATGATCGATTTCATCAACGTAATGACTAATTTCATCATCATAATGACCGATTTCATCATCATAATGACCAATTTCATCATCATAATGATCGATTACATCATAATGATCGATTTCATCAACGTAATGACTAATTTCATCATCATAATGACCGATTTCATCATCATAATGACCAATTTCATCATCATAATGATCGATTACATCATAATGATCGATTTCATCAACATAATGACTAATTTCATCATCATAATGACCGATTTCATCATCATAATACAATGAAAACCTTCGATACCGGCACCACTCAGGATCAATGGAAATGTCGGTTTATAGAGAATATACTCCCCATTGTTTTATTGCTTCAGGAGTGCCGATTCCTCCCTGACCATCCAGACACCACGTGGTTCGACATTCTCCGGAGATCGACCCTGTGGTAATTGTGACGACCCACCAGATGCCTTTGTTAGGGCGTCTATTGCTCAAAGATTGTCTCTGAATGAACTTTCTTTCTATAAAACTGTACTGAGTTTGGATTTTGATAAAGAGTAAGTATTGAGAATAGTTTGGTATGCTTTAGTCTCATTCTGGCCACAGAAAACCCATCTTTAAAACAACAAATAAATGTTGCACAAAAATACATGCTGTGGGGTCTTTGGTTCTGCAGCAAAATATTTCTCGGTGGAAGGTCCCCCCAATCACTGGTTGAATATGCTATTTTGAATAGTTTATGATCTTCATATTCTTATTTATTGCAGACAAAATCCAACGTGTAAAGCCTTGAGTTCCGCAGCAACATCGTGCCCTGAGACCAAACTACAAAACGCTCTACAGTTCTGTGGTGCTCCGTATGCCGACAAGGAGATTGGGAAATGTTTCGTACTGGCCTATGGTAAAGAAGAAGTCCTGGCCAAAACAGCAGAATGCGTGAACACATTTTGTCAGTCGACTATCACAGACCTTTGTACGGAAGTAACCGGTGTCCTGGCGGCATGCTCGTATCGTTCAGAGAAGGAAAATATCATTGATAAAATGTGTCAACCAGGACAATAAGAAGCATATCTATTTTTATCTAAAAATTCGTCTACTTATTTGCTCATCCTCTTAAAATTTGATTTGGATTCCAGTATGAATATTCAGAATGATAAGCTGACGTCCTGTTCGTCTATGATCAAATATATATACAAATAACATAACCAATTAAATTCGTCAGTCGGTGCAGTTCGTTTTTATCTCATTGCGAACGAACCTGGCGTCACTTTATAATTTCTAGAAATGATAAGATTAGCTGAATATTCTTATCGTATTTTGGTGTAAATAGTATTCTCTTTACAATCTCTTTAAAGCGATAGTCATGATTGATTCAAGGGTATGTGGTTTGTAAACACAGATGAATCTACAGGGGTTAAATGTCGCCTTCAGCGCAGCGACACTGATAGCATCAATATTCACCATTCCAATTTTCATTTAGATGTATGTGGTTCCTGTAATTTCACTTCAACTATGCGTCCTTATATTTCAATAGCCTTTGCGGTAGTGACGTCATAAAACGCTTACTCAATAGTGAAATTGAAGAGCCACAGACGTCGAATAAAAATTGGAATGGTGCAAATTGATGATATCAGCGGTTTACCATCCCTTTCATACTGTAAAACATCAACTCATTTCTACTAATAATATTTTATTTTCTTTTTATATCCCACAATATTTTGTTATTTCTTCAAAATCAACCTGAGAGTTGCTGCAAGAAGTTTTGGCGCCCAGTGTAGCCTGACACCATCCTGCTACTGACCCTTGGCAGTAAGCGTTGATACAGGCCTGTACCATTGATAATAGTGTTCTTTTACCAAACTTCTGACTAAAACACTCCCCAATCTGATGGTTGCTGAAAGGTGCCCCACAGAACTGTACTGCTTTAGATCTTTGATTTTCTGAACATGAGTTATAGGCGGTGCCCAATGATTTACAAACAGGATCTGTTCTGAAATTGAGACAAATTTCAATTTAATATTATGATTATCTTAATATAACTGTACATTTACATGTCTGATTGTATCATCAGGGGCAGGAGGAAAAAAGGGCAGAAAAATCAAATATTGAAATTTGGTAGTCATGAAGAGGGAGGTATAAACTCATTTTCACTGGTACCGCCACTCACTGGTACCCACTGGATCAATGACACATTGTAAACCAATCAGTATAGATGTAAATACTTACTCTCTCTGTGTGTCCAAATTGTTGAAAGCGTTAACAAGTGACCATTGTTTAATATTGAGACCTGACTGTTGGGCTGCTAGTTTGTATGAGTTACTGTCACCTTCGCATTGTCCACATGGTCTGCCACTCACGAACTGAGATTGTTTGGGTGCCTGAATAGTCACAGAAGAATCAGCACTCCTGAAAGAAATAAAACACGTATTAACGATCCAAACCGCAAAACGAAACCCGAAATGCAAACAACAAATTGGCAAAATATTAGCAGCACATACTGAAAGATTATAAAATCTAAAAAGACATGAAATGAATGAACCAGTGGCGGAGCCAGGTTTACTTCCGAGGGGAGTATCTGAGGTTGCCCGAATTGTTAACCTAGACATGAGATTTTTGCCCGAAAAAAGGTGACCCCTCTGATACCCCCCTCCCCTTGGCTCCGGTAATCCTGGTAATATCATTACTAAGAAGTTTGGCCAATGATCAGCTGGGAGAGAAGGTCCCCGTAAACCTAAGTTATAATCCTTGTAATATCATTACTAAGAAGTTTGGCCAAGGAACAAATGGTAGAGAAGGTCCCCGTAAACCTAAGTTATAATCCTTGTAATATCATTACTAAGAAGTTTGGCCAATGATCAGCTGGGAGAGAAGGTCCCCGTAAACCTAAGTTATAATCCTTGTAATATCATTACTAAGAAGTTTGGCCAAGGAACAAATGGTAGAGAAGGTCCCCGTAAACCTAAGTTATAATCCTTGTAATACAATATCCTTGTGGTTCGGCCAGTGAATAGACAGGTTTCTTGTGATGTTGTTATCCTTGTGGTTCGGCCAGTGAATAGACAGGTTTCTTGTGATGTTGTTATCCTTGTGGTTCGGCCAGTGAATAGACAGGTTTCTTGTGATGTTGTTATCCTTGTGGGTTGTATATTTCTTTCAAATGGTGAGGTAACTGACCTGAATCTGACGACGATGCCTTGCCTTGGTAACTCCAGAGTCCAATATTGATGTTCATCTACCGAACAATATACACCAAAATCTGGGAAGTTTCCGGAAAACGGTAATTTTACCTTTAAACCTTTGTTCTGAAATAAGAAGAATTGAAAATAAAAATTTTGGGGTGTTCAGACATTTATCTACTGAGAAGGGATTGGGTCGTATAAATTTGCTTTATAAGCTGACAGTACTCAATTTCAGCCATCAATATCACTTGTAAGAATTAAAATTGGATTGCTGATATCAGTCATACATTGTGGTAAAAAACAGTGGCGATTCTAGAAAACATCGGGTTACGGGGCGAGCAGGCGCCACAAAATTTTTCCCTGGGGACCACAGGTCATTCTTTCACTGTTTGAAATGATACAAAATTTGAAAGTGTGGGGCCAAACCCGGGCCAGCCTCTTTGTGGAGGGGCTATGCCCCATTCCCCCGCGCCGCCTCGTAGAAACGCCAGAAATGACGTTCTCGCTAACGTCCAACATAAAATTCATGGATGATTCATGACCAGATGTGTAGGAGCAGGTCTTACCCAGAATCCATCGCGTTTATACATGGCGGTAGCTAATGTATTTCCTTTAGATGCTTCGAAAAGTAATCCATCTTCAAACACGTAACCAGGGTAGTTGCGTTCGTTTCTCTGGCTTGCGATAGCAGTAACTTTGACTTTGATACCATTAGGTGTAGTGAACTCGGCGAGGATATGTTGACATGGTAGATTGATTGACATCTCGCTGGTAGAGAAGCCAGTCACGTAGGGATCTCCATATAGATAACACACACAACTTTCAGCTGAAATTACGACAGAAATGAAAAACAGTGGCTTAACTGCCATGTTGACTTCTTAAACCAAGTACACAGGCCCAATACCTCTAAGGTGGTCCCAAGGCCCCAGAAAAAAGCCAGAGAGCATATGTTAAAAAATAATTTCCTTGGGTAGGGGCCCCAACCCACTTGAGTCCAAGGGCATCCACACATCTAGTTTTGCATCCTACCTGTCTGTTTATGCATGTCTATAAAATTACATTGAATGAAGGTGACCGTGGTAGTTAGATGCTAGAGTGGTGAACACAAAAAGATCCAGTTTTAGATAAACGATTCAATTCGGAAGCCCAGTGGAGTTTTCAGTTTGGATATCAGTTAGGATACGACAGTACACCCCCACAGAGGCATTTTGTCCCATTTTTGTACACCCACCATCAGGAGATTGGCACAAAAATACAAACAAATCTTACTTGCATCCACACAAACAAAACGTCCGTTTCCGGTTTTTCCAGCATTGCATTTACATTCGTTGCTTTCCGCATTACACGTGACGTCATTACTGTCAAGGCAGATCACACCACCACACTGGTTGCCAGGTAAACCTGAAATATAGAGAAAAAATTGAGCGTTGAACATTGCTTATTAGGAACCAAAAGGAATAGGATTAGTCGTGAAAATATTTGATTAATCAGACTTTTAAGAGTTTTTCTAAACTTTAAATGTGTACCAGGAACATTGATAGCATCAATTTGCACCATTCAAAATTTTAGTCAGATGTCTGAGGTTATAATTCCATTATAGGCTAATTAAGCGTTTTATTGCGTAGTTATCACAAAGGCCCTTGGATAGTTGTATATAAGCAGCTATGGCGAGAGTGATGTACAATACGGTAAGTATATCTATAATTACAGGAACCACGGACAACTGACTGAAAATTTAATGCGATGCAAAAAAACTGTCCCCATTCAATTATACAGTTAGCTGAAATTGTGCTCTAACTGACTAGTAAAATATTTTTTACTCTCAAAATATTTACATTGTTGTTTTAAGGGATACATTCGTATAAATATTTGTTTTACCAGTCAGTAGAGCACAAAAAACGTAATGATATCAAATGTCAAATTGTTAAACGGTAGATTCGAGTGATTATCTAAGTCAAGGGAAATAACCTCGAAAACCGTTCTAGAAATAATCTTAACAATCGGTAAAGAGGTTTTCTTAACTTTTTATGTGTATCAGGGACACTGATATTGATTTGCACCATTCAAATTGTCAATCAGACGTCTGTGGTTCCTACAATTCTACTAAAACTAATATGTATTTTTTAGAGCAAGTGCCGAAGCCAATGACGTCTGCGACTGAAAAAAATGGTGCAAATACTGAAAGTGTCCCTGATACACATAAAAACCTCTTTTCATTCGCGATGCCAATATTACCGATGTCGTTTTAAGAAATACATTGAAAATTGATAATGCCCAGAAGAAATTTAGGTTATCGTCACTACGATCAGTCAGTTCCAGATTATTGTAGACGAACAGTGCGTCCGATTTACAATCTGAAAAGAACTACGGGTAGACGAAATGATGAAGCAAATGAAAAATAATCCCCTAAATTGGTTAAAGTTGAACAATACACGGTTTCCATTAAAATAAATGTATCTATTATTTTTAGAAAACTGTATTTTGGTTTTATAAATACCAGATAAACATCGTATATTTTTTTAAACATTTTTCTGCACAAAACAGTAATTTATTTAAATGAAATTTTTCCCCGGCCACTGCTTTCTTAATAAGTTCAATTTAAAATTATCAATTACCTGAAGACTGGCTTGCAACCAGTGGAATAAGAAATAAAACATAGAATAAATTCATCTTCAAACCGTCTTCATAAAATCTCAACTCTCCATCAAATGATATACTACGCCTTTTAAAGGTTTATATAGGGGGATATCAGATCGATTGTTTTGCATTGAATACAGTGGAAGATTAATTCAGTTCTTTTGTTACAGTAAATAAAAGAGAGATTGTGAAGCGAAATATCAATCATAAAATCAATTTCTATTGTACAGTAAGCTTATAATATAGTTTACCAACAATAATAATTGGTCGCTGAGAATATTCATAGAGGTTACATTCCTTAATAAAAACAAATTTGCCATCGAGTGATCATACGATTAGATTTAAAGAGATTGTTGATAGCCTCTATAGCGAACTTCGTCTTATACCTTTACTGCAATAGCCGCTATTCTTGCATCAAGGAATACAGCGATTTGATTGGATTGTACGCGAGTGTATACAGCTAATCAGAGCCTTCGACAGAATGACAGTAAACAGTATGGCTCATTGCTTACCGACTTTCAATAGGGGGCTGTATTGGCTGTATTGGCTGGAATACACTCCAATCGAATTGCTGCATTTACAACTTCTTGTGCGTATTGTAGATGTCTGTATCTTGTGATAATCGAAATGGTTATATGACGTCACTATTTCAAAAGCTGTCAATCGTATGGGTATTTGCGATAGTTAGGCCTGCGTCATAAAACGCTTACGCCTTAGAAGTACGCATAAGATTTTTAACAGGAGAGAGTCTTATTTTTTTAATTCATTCTTAAAAGGGGCGATGGGTGGGAGAGAGAGAGAGGGTACACAACGACTTTATCGTCTGTTCCAGCTCAGGTCAAAATTAGAAAACGGATTTTGAGAGAGATTGATAAGTATTTTAACCTATTCACAATCTGAACGAACTCTGATTAACCCTTAGTCCGAAACATTTTGATAGTTGTTGTCAACTGAGGTAAAGTCATAAAAACTTGGCCCTGTTTGATGAAGATTTTTCCGTATACCTCCGAAGATGCGGTTTTTTAAACATACCCACGAATCTTCACCAGCCGACAACTTTTCACGATATTTATCTGAGGTTGGAAAAGATGCAGATGTTTCGGACTGATTAACTAATATAACTGGGGTATCTCCGCTGTAGAATTAAATAGAACATAACAAACCGAAATCAACCAATCGACGTTCACTGATGATAAAAATTCCCCGAAATGCCGGAATTATATTGGGGAAAACAGGATGTTATATCCCTATATATACCCTGACTGTTTTATGAATTGTATTGTAAAATTTGAATCAGTCGTGCAACCTAACTCGTCCAATATGAAATCTGCAGTGATTCTTGGTTTAGCCTGTTTGTTGGTTGTTTTACTCCACCATTCTGCCGATGCTGGTAAGTTTGTACATTTTGTAATATTTGTCATAATGTATTTTATGTGTATCAGGGACACTGAGAGCATTGATTTGCGCCATTCCAATTTTCAATCAGACGTCTGTGGTTCCTGCAATTATTTCTAAAACTAAGTGTTTCATGCATCACTTATCGCGAAGGGCCTTATGTGATAAAGCATATTCTATCAGATTCACATAAAAAACCTCTTTACTTTCCCTGTACAACTAATTGAAAGATATTGAAAACGGCTTTCTGACTTTGTTGCATGTGTCGGATTGGATCATAAATCTGCTTACTATAGCAGACGACAGGAGAATAGAATAAATTTCTACCAAAACATTTATTTCTAGCATTTGAATAAATCGGAGACACATTTATCTCCTATTATTCCTCTTATTCCGATATCCTGACCGGTACTACTACAGGCTGTATACGTGTCAAAAATCTTTCCATTTATAGAAATCGATCGCTAATATGCAAATACTAATTTTACCTCACTGCAAACTGCACGGTATTGCCCGCCTTCAATAGTTACACTATTTAGGGCTCAGAATTTCATGTTAATTAATTTGATATTACATTTTTTATCACACAGTGTGTGTATATTTGTGTCTGAGTTCTGTAGTCTACAAACGTACTGAAATGTCAGACGTAAAACTTCCTTTTATTTTCAATTATTTCAGCCACGGCAAGATGTAGTTGTGGGGGACGATGTGGGTCCTTCACGTGTCCTGACCCTAACAATACCAAGGGATGTAATTGTGTTTCCTGTACCTGCATCAGGGGCAATGTCGGTAGGTATTTTTTTATTTTGGTTTCCTTTTCAAATGCCAAATTTTTCATCGGATATAATTAGACAGTGTTTGATATTTATCATTCAAGGCGCATGCTCGCTCGCCATTTACAACCGTTGTATGCAGAAAACTTTAACTTTGAATTTTAAGTCAACTGCAGCCCACCAGGACTCCTGAACTGCATTTCCCGTTACGTTTTTATTTATTCGGAGGCGAAACTGCCAGTGGCGGAACCAAGACGAGGGTGGCGGGTGGCAGAAAGGGCACCACTCCCTTCCCTCGCAGAAATCTCATAACTAGGTTAGAAATTCGGGCAATCGGACGTCAATTAGGCTCTGTTTCAATCTAGTACAATGTTGCGGAACAGTTCGTCAAGTTTCAACACTATATTTGATATTTCTTCTTTAAATATTTCAGGTTTCCGCCGATGCTGTGCAAGAAGCTGTGGATTTTGGAACTCGGAAAAATGTTTCACCTGTAAACCATGGCAAAGTTGCAGTTGTAGCGGATGCCGATAAAATCCATTCCAATTTGACCATGTACAATATTTGTCTGTTATAGTATGAACTGATTATTTGTTGTATTTTAAAGCAGCTTTCTCTCCCAAATTCTGGTGGAAATCTATTTTTGATCTTTATTTTGTTTCTTGTGACGTTTCATGAAATAAAAATTGTTATTCTATATTTTTCTTTAGTTTCTGTCAAAAAAAGAAAAAATTGCCACGAGCCCATCCAGACCATGAAAAGGTACCTTTATGTGTCGAAAAGATCCTCCCCTCAAATTTCAGGGTTGCAAAAATAGCGACTCTGTCATTGTCTATGCAGAAGGTTCCTTAATGGCGTTGCCGGTCGTCATACCGCCACGAAATTGATGCAATATAAGACGTAAACGCTAAATTATATTTGCCATATACAGGTCAAATGTGTATAGACCACTGTATGTATACCTAACTATGAAAATAAGATCTTTTAGCTGTACATAAGATTAAGCAATTTAGGCTTTAGGAGCTATGTACACTCTCAAAATGTGATACGAACAGTTTTAAAATAAACATGCGTTGACTATTAAAATTTGGTAAAGTGAAAGTAGAGCATTCAAAAGCTTTAAAGATGTGTTTCCTTATTTTTTAGTGTCAAATTAAGCAAACTATTTGATTAATTGGTGTTTCTAATGAATTATCGTGTATTCTTAATCATATCATTATGTTCTTATTGCATATGATGAGTTTTAGCCAATTATAAATGTCCATGTATGTACAGTTTGGATAAACAAAAAAAGTCTTGATCGGTCACTCATTGGAATTCTCTTCTAATTTAGCTAGTTATGAATTCATTATGGACATGTGAGACAAACTGGCATTTTTCCCAAGTCATTAGAACACCTCTACTTTCTATTCATATAAGTAATAGTATATATAATAAAAATAAGGGAACCCATCTTTTAAGTTATCTCATACCAAGTTTTAACACTTAAAACTAGACATATTGTTTATTTTGTAATGTCGGTCATAGAAATATTGTCATTTTCCATGTATTTTGAAAACATTTCAACGAAATGACAATTTGAATAAATATACGTTGTGACTAGAATCCGGTATGAACTATTTGTACTAAAAAACACTTTATCATAAACTCGATTAGAAGTTTTCTGTACCCAGGTGGTGTAATATGCCCACAAGTTCTCATATAAAGTATTTATTAAAGGGGTACAACACACAATTGATCACTAAAGACTAGTCGACTTAAAGGGTGCAATTCTGGAAGATTGAAGCCAATGACGGCTCATGACCTCAGCCCCACTGCCCCCAAAGGCTCATAAAAACTCCGTTGTAAAGGTATAATGGTAATGAAATGATACTCTTTAATAATTACATCGAAAGAAGGTTTTTATATTTACACAATTTTAAGCTATTTCAACGCCACAAAACTCTTTCACCCTTGAAGGTTAAATGGCATTTCACACCAACCTTATTGATATATCGAATAAACAGCTGCGGTGAAAGGGTTAAATACATCCGGGATCTACCATCATATGTAAATAAAAGTGCCTAATTTTGACCGATATTCCAAGTAAACTACGAGTTAATGTAAAATAACAGGATCTAGAGGAAGTATATAAAACCGCACGACTCCCGGACAAGGTAATTGGTAAAAAAAATTCTGTTTGTTCACTTAATAAATTTTTTTTTTCAAATTTCTCGAAAAAAATGAAGTCTGCGGCCCTTCTGGGAATGTCTTGTTTACTTCTAGTTCTGATTTTTCAAACATCAGACGCCGGTAAGTACATTATACAATATATTTCATGTCATGATGATATTTATATTTCAATTATCTTTTGGAGAGTCCACATAGGTAATAATACATTTTGAAAATATAATTTAGGCTGAAAAGACTGATTCTTGAAATTTAGACATATTATGATGACGTCATTATAGCAAATAGCATTGGGCTTGAAAGTTTGCAGATCAAACTTTAGAAAACCTCTGTCTAAACTTTTTTTTAAAACGCTAAGTTTCATGGTTTTGGTGAAGTCACGCAGACGTTTGGAATGATATACATAAGAAATTGATATAAGCTATTACAGTCTCTATAAGCTACTTAAATAAGGATTATATAATATTGAAGGTAGATTACATGTATATATATCATTGTGACATTTGGTAAACCCTTTTACACTCGATAAAACCGACATATTTAATTTGATTACACTTTTAAATCAAAATATAGATTTTTACATTACTAATTCAGAGATAAATTCGGTCGAGCAAATTAGCTGACTTATGTTATGTTACAAATAGTCAACCTATTAGAGGCTACCGTATATAGGTTATGGGTTTAGATGCGAATAGACGAGGTACGGTGTCCGGTGCAGCGTCTGGTTCGGGATTATCGATATAGTAGAAAATACAAGAAACGAATCGTGTCCGCACCTTGTCCAGATCCGAACCTCGTGTGTTCACTTCTTCTATTTTCATTTGTATCAATTATTCCACACCGTATATACATACACCGCATCAAATACCGTACCTCGTCTATTCCCGGCTTTAGGCTTAAGTATGTTTCAGACAAATACGACTCAGTCTGAACTGGGAAAGGAGAAACCCATTAATGTCGCAATAGCCTATAGCCAGAAACGAAATAGAGTTTTACGCCCTACTTTTCTGCTCAAGTTTAGGTTACTGACGACGGGCAACGTTTAACAAAGAGGGTTTATTTTCCAATCCGGTATTAAACTAAAGTAGACTAATGTTATTTCGATATTTTGATTTTGATATATTAATCATAAAGACCTTTTTTTCTATATTTTTCAGCGTTTGCCCGATGTCGATGTTCTGGCCGATGTGGTACCTTTTCTTGCCCCGACCCTAACAATACCCGGGCGTGTAACTGTGTCAGCTGTACTTGTGTTCGAGGCAGTATAGGTATGTACATTTTTACAACCAATTCAATTATGAAGGCTTAGGGGAGTGCGACAACTATGGCTCTACACAGTTTGAGCTGAGACTTGATACTGGGCAGGGTTAGAGTAGACCGACAACTCTGACTCTACCAATTAAGTACGTAATATACGGCTGTTATCGTTACTGGTATTCTATAACTCACTAGAGTTAGAACTAGAGTTATTTAGGTTTGGGTTTGGGGTGGGGGGGGGTGTAACCTGCAAAGCCGGGGTAGCCTAATTCTTTAGAAACATTCGAAAAGTGTTTTTTGTTCAGGCCTAGATCAGTAGATAAACTAGATGAATATATCTTGAATATTTCTTGAATATTTCTCTTTCAGGATTTAGAAAATGCTGTGCGAGTTCATGTGGATTTTGGAACAGTAAGAAATGTTTCCGATGTCAACCGTGGCAGGGATGCAGCTGTAATGGATGTCGTTAAGGTTTTTGATGATGTACTAGTCCGAAACTCTGGTCTTTGATGGTTATTTTTTGGTGGAAGTCAAACACTTTTTTAAGGAAATATAATGACCTAATGGGTTGATAAAACCACGATAAGACCAATGAGATGACTGAACACTTAATCACCTGAAGCAATAATGATTGTGTAAAATTGTTGGCCCCAACCGTCAATCTATCAGAGTATGGAACAAGAGTAATCAAGTTACGGGCTTGGCTAATGTCTCTGGCCATTCGGGTACAAGTCGGGTTAAGGTGCGAAAAGATGATGTGCGGTGTCCGATGCGGAATTATCGATACAGTAGAAAATAGAAGAATCGAATCCACCCCGTGTCCAGACCCCCACCTCGTGTGTTCACTTGTTCTATTGTTCGCACCGGACACCCTACATCGTCTATTCGCGGCTTGACTCTGGAATTGTTAGTTTCATTTTGAAAGTCAATATAGGCCTACTGTACAATGGCGATTACGGGTTATATATATATATGTATATGTATATATATATTTTTTTAACGATGACTGTTTTCCAAAATAATATTTACGGGTGATTGGTCGAATTTGTCCACTTTCTTTGTTTTCCAACTCTACTCGACGTTCTTTGTAATATATTGTATTTAATGGATAATGTATAAATATCAAAGTTTGATATATATTATTATATTGTCCATGTTGATATTTTATTTCAATATTTCTTTTTCATTCTCAATAAATATTGAAACTTTTATTGTTGATTATATTTCTCCTCGGATTCACCACAGTTCGTTTTGATTGGGCGCTTGGTGACTTTCAAGTAAGGTCCTTGGACTTTAAATCTTTTACATCAAATACTAAGGGGGACAAGTCAAAATCTGCTTCCCTCACAGAGATGGAAAAAGTGGGCCTACAGCCCAGGTAAAATTTCCTTTGCAAATGACCTTTTCCTCATAAAGTACTCCCCCCCCCCCCCCCCCCCCACCCCCCTCCATTAAAAATCGCACACCTCTGAGTGTCGGAAAATTTCTTACAGTGCACCAAATTGTTTTATTAGGCTATTAGGAATTTGAAACTGATGGGAGGAAGGGGATCTAGCCGTGGCAGACTTATTTCTGGCCATCCTTACAAGCGAAACTGGTCATAATATTTCAATTGAAGTAGGAAGAGGTTCGACTATATAAGAAAAAGACTGGATAATCATGGATCATACTTGGGTCTGGTTAATCGAAATTAATTTGTTGTCAAGGGAAGTGACTCTTATTTTCATTCATTCATGGATCAGTAAACAAACACTTTATTAATTGTTCAAAACTTGTTTTATGCGGAGTAAACCGGCGAGATGGTGTCGACGGGAGTCAAAATAGTTGGAACTGTTTCTGCTTTAATCGTTCTTGCCGCCATTCTTTACAAGAAACACGAAACAAACAGCATACACGATAGATTAGATCATGTTTTGTCGGGTTTGCTACGTGCTGAAAGAAAAGTTTCACAAACTAGTACGAAGGCAAGGGTAGCTCTGGGTTTCGGAAGTTGCTCAGATATTTTTGTCGATGCTTTGCCAGTTTTTAACAAGTTGAACCTGATAGCTCCTGACGAGCCAGAACATTTTGATTCTGTAAATAGTACAGACTCCCTGGCTAAATTGGCAGCTTATTTCTTTCGATATGGTGCTGCAGCAGAGTAAGTATTTTCTTCTCATTTTACTTCCTTGCCCTTTTTCCATTTTTCTATTTCACACTGTGAGCTCCAAATAGTTTTTTTCAAAACTGGTCATAGATTGGTTTTACATCTGAAATAAGATTACCTTAATGGAACAACAATGATTGTTTAAAATTGTATGCAATCTTTCAGTATGATTCTCCCCTCCACCTAAGGCACATAGTGATTCAAAGTGATAGGAAACTTTATAGGCCCTACATTTGTGCATTTATTTTAATTACATTGAGTGAGTGGGGCATTTGCCAAAATATGTGCCAGAATGCACAAAATCTATTAATTTTTTCTAAAATTCTCTTGAGAGAACCCTCTAAGACACTATGAAAGGCTTGCGACTATGACACACAAATTTGAATTAAGTCAGTCTGCCCCCCCCTATTTGTACCCCCAGTCTCGGAACGCTCGCCCCGCCGCTGATTACCCTTACAATTGCTAAATGGCATTTAAGGTTTTTTTCGTCAATTAACATTATATTTTATTTCCCTCTCTTTATTTTTCAGGAGATATGTGAGCAATACCAGTTTATTTGAGACGATAGTTTCTATCAGTGATACAGTTGCTGGCAGGAGATGGGCTCTAGGTGGAAACGCTCCGGCTATGGCTAATAGAATGGCTCTGGAGGGGCTAGATGTTCTCCTTGGTTCAAGACTCACACCAAATTTAGCTAGTTCAATATCTCCTAATATAAAAGGTAAGCCGAGCTGAGGTACAATCTCTCTTCAACAGAGTTGAGTGGACTCTCCAAATTGAGTATGTAGTTTACAAGCGCAGCCACCGAGGGGCATTACGGTAGCATGAGAGCTGGGGAGGGTCTAGGTTGTCAGTTGTCTGTCTAACTGTTAACATGTAATAATCTGTGAATTAATATTTCAGTAACTGGTAAATCTGTTAAAGATGAAGATGTCCATGTTGTATTGGAGTATAAAACTGGTGAAAAATGGGGCAAATATATTTCACCTAGAGCTAACAGGTAATTATTTATACCGGGATTATTCTATATTCTCTATATTGTGTCTCATATTTTTATATCAAACCTAATCCTTATGAGTTTAACTTTTATACTTATTCTACTTCTTTATATTATATCTGACAGTTAATTATTAACATACCTTTATTCTGTATATTCCACTAAGAAGATAAGAAAGAATAAATATCATATCAGTGATATAGCATACAAATAAATCAGAAAATGAAATGAATGGAGTTTTACATCCTATTTTTCTGCACCATGTGGGCTAATGAAGACGGGCAACACCATGCAGGGTACAGGGAGGGAAATTTTACCAGGACAACGGCGTTAGCACACGGGGCCTCGGTTTATTGTCACATCCGAACGACTAGACTCTTTTTCCATGTCAGCCCCTCGTACCAATTAAATCAGAAAATAAACCATTGAATATTTAGACGAAAATGAGTTATGAAATCATACAATAAGTAATAAGAGCTGCAGTGACTCACTTTGAGTATTTCCGTCATATCACACTGCATGGCATTGCTGTCCTTATTAGCTAAGTCTAGTGCAGAATAGTAGGAAGTAAAACTCCTTTCGTTCCGTTGCATTGATTAAGTAATACCAGTATATTATATTTCATTACAGACTGATTCTACACAGTGATAACAGTAATCCGTATTTAAAAGCTCTGGAAGATTTTCAGAGAGAAATAAAATCATTTAACCCTTCGTTAATAGTAGTTGGTGGATTGCAGATGATGGATAACTTTCCTTTTGAAGCAGGTAGATATAATACGGAAATCAATAGAACAATTAGACTTATATCAGTGAAAGGGGCTTAGTGTGGACTTGTCAAAGGGGGAAGGGGGCAAAGCTCATGTGTGGTGATTCCTTACAAAATCTTTCATATGGTCATACCAACAGTGGTGGAAAGAGCAGATCTGGGACCTCTGACCAATGGATTTTCTGGAGGCCCCATCCTACCTTGCTCAATTTTCTCATTGGATTTAGGCTATTATATTTTTCTATGGGAAAAAAAACAACAAAATTTTGAGTTATAGAGCCCCTCACCCCTTGTCCATCCCCTCAGTCTGCCTACAAATAGACTCTTGTAATTATAGATTCATATTTTTGTTTTTAGGTCAAAGAATAGCACGTCTGGAAAAACTTAAAAATCTTTTAAAACAAACACCTTCGACGACAAAAATACATTTTGAAATGGCATCATTCACAGACGGAACTCTACTGGAAGAGGTTTACGAGAATGTGATGCTTCATTCTGATTCGTTAGGTATGAATGAACAAGAGTTACCCAACTTGGCCAGTTTACTCACCGAGGGAAAAATAACGCTGGTATCTGAAATAGTTCCTCGCGTAGCAACAGTTTTAGACCAGATGAGAGTTATTTATAAAAATATGAAAAATCATCCGAAATCCAGTAGAAAATTATCACGTCTGCACGTCCATACTTTAGCATATCAAGCCATTTTAACTAAAAAATCATCTTCGTGGAAAAATACAATGTCGGCTGCGGCTAAAGCAGCGTTAACCGCTCACCGTTACGTTTGCGGGTCCAATTATATCAATTTAGTCAACGCCAAAATATTAATGGATGATTCTTTTGCACGAAGTGTGAGAGATTCGTCCAATAAAGTTAATTTCCGAGAAAATCGTCCAGTTTCATGCTGGGATGAAGATGATTATGAAATTTGTGTGGCTCCCGTTTTAGTTTGTACGAATATTTTACAAACCGCTGGCGGTGGAGATAATATATCGTCTGCTGGTCTTGTTTTACAGATTTAATTATGATTGGTTGAAATTTTATGTTTTTAATCAGATTTTCCCCACATACATACATTAGTATTAGTATTAATTTGTATAGATTGTAATTTTGTTTCTTTATTTAATCTCGTATTGCCAAACCAAATTCACTTTATAATTTATTAAAATTATGATAATGCCTAACATTGCCATATGTCCTCCATCAGGAGTGACACAGTCTAATTTATTTAAAGGTACCAGTTAACTATTCTAGTAATGATGATTTATCAGGGTCTTGAAGTGAATGGTTTCTAGATGGAACCTTACTTAATATAGCTTTATAAAAAGTTAATTTTTTTGATCATGGGAAATTTGTTTTCAAATCACTTAAATTTTTATTTGGAATTTTAAGGAAAGAATGGATTTCAATTTTCAAGAATTTAAAGGTTAACATCAGTTTAATTTCAAAAATCAAAATAAGCTCTGTGTTTTTGATGAAAATCTGTGGATTGAAACCCGATGCATAGCATCAAAATACTTAAAATGGTAAGTGTATTATTGTGTGTCATGTCCTGGAATGAAAAGATTTTGATTACAAAGTGGCACATTATCAATCCTAATTTAGATGTCCACTGATTTAAACAGTAAGTGATGCTTATGTTATAATTTTGAGATGAAAAAATAGCCCCACCAGACATGTTCAGATTTATCACTCCAGTAATATCCAAGCTGATCATGTTTTTTAAATTTCCAGTAGTTATAGTCTAGATTTTTAATATTTTATTTTATGCACATTGCAGTTTTAATATTGTCTTATTCTTGGGGATGGGGTAAATATTTGTTTGAAATCAAAGGACTTGAAACTTGTATTTTTACAATTTAAACTAATCTTTCAACATTAATAGTTTTTTTTAGATGAAAAAATGCATATTTTCACTCCTAAATTGGTAATTTTGTCCCTTAGAGTAGAGGGGGAAGGGCATTAACCTGCTGCTGGTGTCAATTGTCAATATAAAGATCCATTCTTTCATTCTATGCACTAGATGACCACACTAGATTTGTGTGTGTGAGGTATTGGTTGAAATATTTTAAATTCTTTAATTAACTTGCAGATTTCATTTATCATTAATATTACATATGGAATATTTTAATCAATTTAACCCAATTAACTTGCATATTTTATTTATAATTAATATTACACATGTAATATAACATATGGCAGTGCCATTTTCATATGAAAGAATCAATTGTAGAGGGTTTTGATATTTTAAAATATTACTGAAGATCACTCTTATTGATTAGGTTTCTTTATGATTCTATTATTTGTAAGTAGGAGAGAAGTATTATTTAATCCATTAATTGAATTGTTCATGACCACCGTATTAATTTTACGATATTTTAATGTTATTACTAATAATTGTTATTAAATTTTGCTCAATATTTCTCTTGTTTTTGTACAGGTCAAGAGTCAAATCATAGCCATATTTTACTTTGGGAGAGAGCAAGCAGTATTCAAAACAAAGATCAGAATTGCTGAACCTTAAGCACCATATTCATCAACACTCAAAGTAAACCACCAAACAAGGTGTACAGGTTCAGTCCAATCTCTGCATCTCTTGAACAATACATCAGTGGTGTTACTATGACTCAGAAGGCAAGTCATGTTCCTTTAGCAACGGGGTGTAGATATATTGTTTGACAATATTTACCATTGCCAAAGAAACATGAAGGCAAGTATGGGCCATAGTTACCTCATAGGCTTTTCTCTCACCAAGTATTATGAAGGAAAGGGGGGAGTAACCAAAGCCTGGCTAGGCCCCAATCTCAGTGGACAATCGTACCATACAAAACTGCAATGTCTAACTGGTTAGTAGATTGTAGAACATAATGAAAGCCTTTGACACCTTTGAAGCAGCTGTTCTGTTCTGTGGTCACCAAGATGACTGACCAAAAGGGTAATACAAGTGAAACAGTGACCATCTTCACAAAATCCAGCTATTATGAACTGTGTCTTAGTCCTTGACTGCAGTAGCCACCTTTCATGTATCTGCAGTTACTAACTTCTGTGATACACGAAAGTTGCCTTATGTTGTAAAGGTATAAGTTTGTAATAGCTTGACATTGTGAAAAGGGACATGATTTTCTGCCAAGAGACAAAAACAAGTACAGCTCAAGTCTTTATTGTTCCAGTCAGTTTTTATATAAATACGATCATGGGTTTTTTTATTTTTACAATTTTTTTGTGTGATATTTTTCAAGTTTTTCTTCATTGCGGGTCATTTTATCATTTTAAATAACAAGTTAAAAGGCCATTCAGTCATGACTCAGCCTATTTGAAGACTTCACCGTCGAAAACTTTTTTGCCACCAAAATCTCCTTCAAAGGTGAAATATTCGTGGACCAGTTTTTTGGTTTCCGGTGTGGTGGGGTCAAGTTTTTTCCATGAATAAGATTCATAATCCACTTGCCAATCTGGAGAAAGCTGAAATAATAGAATATTATTCAGTGAGATGGTTGTAAATACAGAAATGCGCTGTAGAATTTAGATCGTTTGCAAGCAAACATTGGGACAATTCTTAAAGGCATTGTATCAAGCATCAGAATTTTGAAGATAATTTGACTTGATCCTGTAAAAGCTATGTGACTAGAGTTTAACTGCCATTAGCCTGACAACTTCGGCCCTGCCCTGGCCAGACCATTGACTACATCACATCTGTATAATATGTCTGATAATATTGGAGCATTGTTGATGGGCCCAATCACCATAAAACACCTTATTCTTATAATTTCATATTTTGCATACCTCAAAAGCAAGCTGTTGACCTCTCCAGAAGAAAATACCGGCAACTTCATTTTTCTTATTTTCACCGAAAACTAGCACCGTACCGAAAGCATTTTTTCGTAATTTATCCAATCTTTGGAACATACCTGGAAGCGAAAATTAAAGAATCAAGAAATGAGAAAATTGGGGTGATTAGTACAATATATCTCGGATGAAATCGACATTTAGATGTCCAACAATTGTAATGTTGCAAAGTTGGGTTAAAAGCCAATTACTAAGATTAAAACATGGATCAGAATGGTTTTCTTCAATAATATTCAGAAGTAAAAACATATTTTAGACATCATTTCCATGTCTTCAAGGACTATAAAAGGTCTGGCAACAAGAGTTGCAGAATAAGCACGTCTTCGATAAAATAGTATACACAAAACTTCAACATGAATTACACGTGTCGTTATCAGATGAAATGCCTCGATTAGACATGTAAATTTCAATAAATCTTTGGATTAAATTTTGATAGTTTGTAATTTTAAAATCTGAACTTAGATCAGCATGGTTTTCTTCAATATTAGTTCAGAAGTAAAAACATATTTAAAACATCATTTCCTCATTCAGACCATGGAAACCAGCAAAGCCAGGAAGTGTACAATGGGGGACTCTTTACCTCAGTTCCACACAAAGAAGTTACTATTTAAAGATGAACCCTAGTCAATATGATTATCAGTGATAGAATTACAATTAATTTTGCAGTAACACTTTTTTAAACTTGGATCAGTAAAAATTTGTCTTCAATTTGAGTCAGAAGTCTAACGTGAAAAACATCATTTCCAAGATTTATACCTATGACTGGGAATAGACCTCATTCATGCCTCATTTTGAACACATCGAATTTGAGGCTCATAACGCAATTAACTGAAGGTATTAAATAGCTTAATCAATTCCAATTCAATGATGTAAAATACGATTAGTTTCGAGTTAGTGGGATTGGAAAAAGAGGCAGTGAAAATGCCACCATTTTCTAAGAGCCTCTTTCTGAATTTAATATGGCCAACATGTGAATAAGGACCACCTTAAAAAAGTAAGAACTTACCAGCCACTAAATTCATGGTCATAAAAGATTGGTTGTCTGAAAGATCTTCTTTGTATTCACAATACCATATAGACATAGTCTCTTTATCAAAATGTTGCCAGAAATAAGGAATAGCTTTTTCTACTGTGTCCTCATTGGAGTACACCTTTTTAAATTCATCAAAGTTAAAATTTCTACAAAAGAGAACACATCAAGATATCATAAAACATACTATTATAACTGAAATTTAGAAGACAAACTTTTTCAATTGAAAATAAAACAGAAAAATAACTGACTATGACCAATTCATTTCACATATTGTATCTGCGAATTATAAGGAAGCAGTACTATCTACATAGGTGCCTGGGCCATCCAAGACTAAGCTTGCAATCTCTCCCCCCCCCCCCCCCCCCCCCCCTTATGATAATTCTTTGATTGGACTGGTTTGTGTATAAATGGCTTTGCTCAACTTTAATATTTGGCAGATCTACTCACGTTTTTGGAATATCAGCAAAAGGATCTTTCTTTTCTTTCGGTAAGGCGGGCACGTCTTCTGCTTCAGCTTTCTGAATAAAAAAACAAGTAGGAGTGTAGGAGCAAATGAACATTAGTAACACTGTCTGTTTCCAAAGTTTGCTGTCTATTTTTGAAAGTTTGCAGGAATTTTCAGCCACATCAATTTGACATTCTTCTTTCGACCAAATTATCAGGATGAATAAACCGTGGATCAGCTGAAATTTGTCTTCAAATTATTGTCAGAAGTCTAACGTGTTAAACATCATTTCCAACAGGTTTATATCATATCAATACTAAGATGTGGCTGTTGATTCAACTGGAACTTAATTCAGATAACCAAATGATACAAAGGAATGAGAATAAAATATCTGTGGATCAGCTGAAATTTGTCTTCAAATCATTATCAGAAGTCTAACGTGTTAAACATCATTTCCAACAGATTTTTACTAGACATATATATATCCAGATGGGCAAAATAGGATTACGAATTGTTTCATAGAGCCAGAACGCCCCAAATGCAAATGGTAACCTACCACAAAGGCGCATTTAGACTTGAAATCCAATATAAGGGTGTAGCTCAGTCAATAGGGATATTGTCAAGGGGTCATAGTCACTTTCAGACATAACCATATAGTTACTCTAAAACCAAGCTGTTATCTTCATAAAATCTTTTTTTTTTCTACGTAGTAAAACTTATCTTACCTTCTCAGCTTTGGCTGCTTTTGGAGCTTCTTTAGGTTTCTTGTCCTTTTTAGCACCAGTTTCTTTCTTTTCTTTACCATGAAGTTCATTGTATTTCTTGGCTGGAAAAATAAATTCAAGCTATGTACATTGGTTAAAACCAATAGATAAGGACGGACTGAAATTCTCTGCATTATGCAACAAAAATATTTCAAGAATGTTCATATTTCTCCTCACTTCTTGCAAAATTAAAATCCAGTATTTCAGATTGATCAGATGACTGGAACTCTAAAATAAAATGCTTCTTGTGCATTGTCAACTCAGATATAGATATTGGAATTGTGCCATTTTCACATAAAAATATGTACTTGATCAAACTGCTTATTTGACTATGATTTACAAATAGCAAACAAAATACATGAGATCAAACTGATTTACTCTACCTCCCTAACTTACACACTTGTAAAATATTACAAACATGCCTTTTGGAGAGGAATTAAACAAGCTTTCATAGAAGTAGCAAAGAATCACACTGATCCACAAGGATAAATGGATCAGAGAGTAAATTCTCTTTGCCTATTATAGTCTTCGATCATAAAATCTTTAACACAAAACAGAGCCCCTTTATCCATTGTTTTTTTATGTATTTAATTTATTTATTAATAACATGCTAATATGTCATTAGGAAAATCTCTTGTAAAGAATTTCATATTCTTGCTAGCCTTTTCACCTGTGTCTACTTAATGAAACTATCGATTTCAAAGAATTCTACTAAGGTCATAATAATTTAATGAACTTACAATCGAACTGGGCCATCTTGGTACATAGTGTGACATTACCAATGACAGCTTTAAATTCCTTCTGATTAATCAGAGTAGTAAACCATCTATTTACATTCTGAAATTCTTTTCGGAATTCTGGCTCTAACACCTAAAATATCAATCAGAGAATGTCACAAAGTATTCCTCACACAATTTGTCACTTTTAAATATTTACATTTGATTTACCAAGATTTAAGCACTATTTGCAATTGATCCAAAGTATTCCAAAACTAGCTTATTATTCACTTTGGACTTTTATTTCAGAAATTAATAGGATATACAGCAAATTCACTGACATCAATTGAAGCCTGAGCACTAAAAAGGTTGAGATTGGGCATTTTCCAGCACAGCACCTTGTTAGGCGATAACGAAAGAAATATTTGACTTACCTGTTGATAAAGTAATAAAAGATTACAAGCTACACTGATATCAGCCTGAGATATTCTATCACCCACCAGGTAAGTTCGAGTTAACAGGACAGTATTTAAAACACCCAGAGCTTTCTTAATTTGCTGTTTTGCTCGCTCTGTTTCCTATAATCATAAAATAGCAATTAATATTGCTGTGCATCGTTGTGTTTTGATATGTATCTGAGAGGTTTTTTGACAGAGGCAAATTTCTCTTCTTTTTGAAGCTGAAAATTAGTTTTAACTGTTATTTTGAAAGTTGTTACTCTTTCACTTGGGACAGTTCTTTTTATGTAGACTATGTATAAGAAATATTTTGCTTCATTTTAAACAGAGAAATTTCATATTCAAATTTGGCATAAACTGAACAAAACTTATAGCTAATGAGTTCATCTTCACTTATAAAGTCTGTTGAATGCAAACAGCTGGTTATGTAAATGAAGATTTAAACTTCCATGCAACAGCTGGGGTATTGTTCTCCAAAACTTAACTTGAGATGTTTCATTATCATTATTCTACTGTTTATCTTTTGTCTGTATTTTAAGTTTTATGGAGAGCAAGTCCCCCCAGTTTGTTATTAAATAGTAGTCTTAACTTAGACTTTAAACATAGGAAAGTTTAGAAATAGGTCTACCTACCTGTTTGTTGAACTGAACTAATCCTAAACATGGAAACACCCAGGTACATGCGTCTGGTAAAATTTCATTATCACCAAAATTCACCCATTGTAAAATTTCAGCAGCACTTTCTGGATTTTCACCATTCAATTTTGCATTACCAACTGGAAAACAAAAACATAGAGAAAATTAAACATCAGTTATGAGTGTGGCCAAAGTAGTTTGAGATATATTAGACACATGAAAAGACTTCGATTTTTGTCCGGGAGATTAGGTCCTTTTACTCAAACCTGCAGTCTCTCTAGACCTATGTTAGATTGGACACCCTACCATGTTAGCAAAAAGGCTTCCAACCGTCCAGGCCCCTCCTCTGTAAGAGTATAGATTTGTCATACTCATTTCTAAAGTGAACCAAATTCTTACTTACCCATGTAAGCAATAGCATTGCTTTCAAACAAACATTTACCATTACTGGATTCAAAGGCAGGTACCTAGAAAATAACACAAACATAAAATTACTGTAATGGAAAATATTTGAGTATAAAGGTAAAATCACTGGTATCACACAACTTATTAGAATTGAGGGTACCTTTTTAGCCTATACAACTTACACAAAAAAACTGTCTTGAGTCACGCTATGCTCACCCATACAGAACACTTGATCAGCTGATGAACAAGATGGCACTGGAGTGTCACTGTGTCAGTGTGGTCAACTTGGCACTCCCTTCAAATTTTCAAAATATGACATAACTATTTCTACAGACAGATATGTGCCGAACTACAATAATGGTGAAATAAGCCTCTCTGATGAAATTACACGAAATCGGGCTACATCTACGAAACCTGGTCAAATGACATATTGAACTTTGCCACGACTACAAAATAAAGAAAAGATGATTGACCACAAAGAATGAAAATCAACACACTTACCTTTCCCATTGGAAACTTGGCAAGAAACTTGTCATTTTTATTTGACTCGCCAAACTTGAAATCTGACGGAACAGTTACTTTGGCACCGCTGTATTGGGCAGCGATAAGTGCCTTGTAAGCCCTAAAGTTGTTAGGGAATGTGAACAATGTCTGAAAGGAAATGAGTAAAATTATTATTTCAAATAGACCATGATATATTGATGTTCATCACCAGTCCATTTTCATTAATGTTAGATCAATAGTTACACCGATTCAGTCGGATTTAATGCAAGAAGCCGGCAAGAACTTACTCCGGACGCCATGTTCACGATATAAGAGGAAGTTACGTTGTAAGTTTTTTCGGGCATGCGCAGAGTGATTTCCATAAGTAAAGTGCCCGGATGAAAATTTTGTGTACTGAAAAAGGGAAAGTGTATGAAGAGAAATAATAATTCTTAGATTCCCAAAAATTCACAGATAAAATGGTAAGAGAAGGTTCTAATTTGGTCCACAATTTGACTTTTAGTCTATGTGCCTATCCCTATTTAGAAATTTTCCATTTTGACTTCAGAGTTCGGTAAATAAAGAGCAAACTGAAATGATAAGCCTGGAAACAGTGGAAACCTATCCTATTAAAAAATGGAGATATCCATCTTTCTATTTTGTTTTATTCCATTTCGAGTTAATAAAACGTCTATTCAAAATGAGACACCTTTGGTTATATAACTCATTTTCTTGCACACAGCCCAAGACCAAATATCCATGTATTTTTTCAAAGCAAGAGTCATAAGTTTACAGGAATATTGAACAGTTAGGCTACAGGAAACACAAATACCGGGACCTGTTTTCTTCATTTTAATGTTCATCTGATGCCTCTGTCAAGACCCTAGCTCTCTAATTGTAATCCTCTGAATCATTAGTGGGTTTATGTAGGCAGATTAGAAGATTATGATATCTCAGATCTTTGACAGAAGTGTTTCTATTAAGTTTTAACTAAGCTTATTGGCTTGTTTTTGTAAACATACATTATTTAATGATAATAAAAATGATAATATGTTCATTACAAAGGGTACAAAATTAGTCACGTAAATACCAACGATCATCAAGATCTGTTTTTGGTACCCGCTGATAGACCAGGACCAAATAAGCCTGTCAGAAATTGCCTCTGTGTGACTGTTACCTTATGGGGCTAAATTGTCAAGTCTGTTTTTTTTCTATCTTGACGGATGAAAGCCAAAAGGCAAAAGCTTGATTTCATGTTGTTCTATCTGTATTTTAGGGAAATGAAAACAGCCTTCCATTAGAACTCTGCTCTACCTGTAAGTATTTCCTGTTTTCTCTATGAAAGAAGTTTTTTGGTAAAGATGATAATGATATATGAGGCTCTTTGTCTTGGTAACGTCATAAATGTTTATTCTGTGTGACATTGTGAAAACCATAGATTTCTTATTGTAAAAAGGTTATAGTCATAATGGCCCTAGACCAAAATGGTCCCACAATTTTTTCTTGGGTCCATTTTGAATTTTTTTGAGGTGCCATTTTGACTTGAAAATTTGGTTGAAATCAAAGAGTAATTTCTTGGGACATTTTGACTATTTTTTTTGGGACCATGTTGACTTTTGGGGCCATTTTGACCTGGGACCATTTTGGTTTAGGGCCATTATGACTATAACCCTTTGTAAAATAGTAACGGTACTTATTTTCCCCATAAGAATAGATTTTGTAAAAATGTAACTTAAGTGTTGCTGACGTAAAGCTAATAGATAGTAGATCAAATACACTCCTTATAAATTCCAGGTAAATTATTCCAGTCTCCATTTTGTTTGATTGCCTGAAGAGTTGTGGGATATTTACAGTCCTTTATGTCAGACAAAGCTTTGTTATTGTTGGACATATCTGGCAAATACATTGTAATCAAGAATCCTGTAACCTGTCAATTATTTTATATTTTCAGTCGATGCAGATGAGATTAAAAGATTAGGAAAACGATTTCGTAAACTAGATTTAGATAATTCCGGTTCATTAAGCGTGGAAGAGTTTATGACATTACCAGAATTACAACAGAATCCACTAGTTCAGAGAGTAATAGATATATTTGATACCGATGGTAACGGAGAGGTTGATTTTAAAGGTATGCCCGTTTGTTTGTTTCTAATTCTGAGTTTCCAGAAGATTTTCATCAGATTATACAATTATTTTTAGTGGGGTGGCTAAGTTTTCTCTTTGGTACCAGTGAGCTAGCTCAATTCATCTACAGCAAATTAGATTTTTTATGATTCTGTGGCATGAGTTGGAAAACTGAATGGAAATTCTAGATTGGAGTCCTATTACTAGGCTAGCTTATATTTTTATTTATTGAATTGTTGTGAATACAATAAAGATTTTATAAAATGTATTGGTTGGCTAGTCGATGCAAACTAATTGATTGTTTTTGTATCTTCAGAATTTATAGAGGGTATCTCTCAGTTTAGTGTAAAGGGTGATAAAGAATCGAAATTACGGTGTAAGTATTCATAATGGACAACAGAAAAGTTCTGTATTTGTTTGAATATAATTTGTGACAATAATACTGTTTACATGTTGCTGTCGTACAAGTGTATTGCCAGGTGTTTGATGCTATTTTCTTAATTAATCGGCTTAAGAATATTTATAACATCATCAGAACCTCCCGATTATTTTCTGGTAGATTGTACTAAAAATATTTTATCTATTGACCATCATTCAATTTTGGGTATCATGAGAATTGCTTCCCTTTGAAGCCTTTTGATGATCATAATCATATCATGAATCACTGAATTGTTGGAACCGCAAACTTAGATAAGAACTTGGAATGGTAAAAATGAAAGCTATCACTGTGTCACATACACGTATATAGACTGTAAAACCTCTCTACAATCCCGTTGGTTTTTTTCAGTTGCTTTTAAAATTTATGATATGGATAAAGATGGTTATATTTCTAATGGTGAATTATTTCAAGTTTTAAAAATGATGGTAGGGAATAATTTAAAAGATACCCAACTACAACAGATAGTAGATAAAACTATCATTCATGCTGATACTGATGGCGATGGAAAAATTTCTTTCGAAGAATTTTGTTCTGTAAGTAGATTTTTTTTATTGATCTTTGCATGTTTATTTCAAATTTCCTTCATTGCACATTGCGAGGTATTGACATTGTCAAAATGTCCATGAAACAAGGGTCAGAATTCACATGCATAATAATATATACAAAGTACAATACATCTAAAAATAAAACAAACAGAAGTGATAATATTTTACAAATTTCTTTTTCATTATTTGCACTTTTAAGTTTTCAGTCCATGCCACACTGCAATACCTTGATCTTCTTTGCTTTGAAAACATAGTGGGACATAAACTATATGTTAAAATTAGATTATTTCAAAATTGTGCAAATCCATGATATCAGTGTTCTCGATACACATTTTAAGTCTAGTAATCTTCTTTACAATCCCTTTAATCATCCTAATCCTGGTGCAATAAGATAGACTTTGACTAGATATAAAATTGATTTGTTTATTTATTTATTTATTTACAGGTTGTTGGTACGATGGACGTTCATAAGAAAATGGTTGTCGATGTCTAGAAAAACCTTGTTTTGTTATTTCATATTGTTTTTTTCTCTTTCCCATGACAGCTTTCTCTCTCTTTCCAAAAATTGTCATCGAGTTTCTATGACGCCACATATGTTTATCGTATTGTCTGTTATTATTAATATTATGTTGCTATGGTAACAGTTTTAATAATCATTTAAATTCCACCGTTCTTCATGGACTCTTTCTCATGTATAGCTTGATGCTAAGGCATTAAAGTAACTTAATGAGAGACTGTGGAAAAACTAGGGCATAGACAATTATACCCCTGCCCCCCTTCAAACAATTTTACCCTGGGGCTGCATTCTCAAAAATTTGACTAAGATAAAATCAAGAATAACCTACCAATACTCATTGAAGTTTTCTGTCCTATTGAATGGAATTTGGCAAAAAGCATCAATAAGTTCTGTGGAGCCATGTTCAAAATTTAACTTAAGAGAATATCTGACGAATGTATTACATTGTTTGTGGGATGGCAGGTTCTAATTGTGGTAAGAAATAAGGTTTCATTTGTCTTCTATTGTGTCAAATATTTTCTACCTTTCGGCATGTTTTTAAAAGTTTTGTCAAGTATTGAATCTCGAAGAAAAAAACTAAAAGTCACGATTTCAACTAATCAACATTTTCATTAATACATGATTACTTTTTCGTGACACGCAATTATAAAATTAAGGCACGTGACTTTGAGAGAAGAGAAGGTTGTGGTAAAATTTCATGTCATTCCACGTATCGCATGCTAATCTATTTATTTTCATTATTTTCTACGTTTCCTTTCATTTTATATTCATATTTCTATATTATTCTACGGACGTAATTTCTATAAGAAAATACTGCACAATATTAAAATAGAGTTGGCCACTATTTCAAAAGTAAAATATTGACTAACAAAATATAACTCATGTAGACTCACAATGAGGCATGTCTCAATGAAATACTCAAGGGCAGAGTGGTGTCAGAAGAGTAAGCATGCCCTGCATCAATAACGACTCCCCCACCCCCCAGTAAATTTTTGTACTTTGACTTAGATCTCGGTATTTATGTTAAAGGACAAAAATGATGAAAATTTGGGATGTAGATTCACAAGCTTAAAGCTGTTCTACTTATTCTAGTCTAGTATTCTATGTTCTAGTGTATCTGTGGACCCGTATTTGCCAAATTCATTATGTTATATTCTTTTTAGATATCAGTTATATTTCTATAATAAATATATTATTATGTAATAACTTAAACATAAAAAGATGGTATACGTCCTAATTCTTTCTTAATATAGTAGGTCTGTTTCTCAGATATTTGGTATAGGTCTTGTATAGGTCCTGTTTCTAAATATTTGGTATAGGTCTTGTATAGGTCCTGTTTCTAAATATTTGTGAAATTATACTCAAAGGAAAATCGATATTTATACGATTTTTGAAGAGTCCCGAACATTTTTGAGTTAGAAAGAAATATTGTCTCATTTCATTAGTTTTTATTCTCCCTCTTTCAAGTAAAATTAACATTGTCCATATATTATATTCTCAATTATATTTCATTTTCTCTTTTTTTAAGCAAAACTTTCAGGGTCAATGAAATCGTGTGAAATAATGATAAAATAACTAAAAAGGTGTACAATATTTATTGAAGTTGCTAGACATCCTCATTCTGATATCTTGTGTTGCCATGACAACCAATCAGCCATTTTGTTTTTTCGAATTTTTGCACTTGAGAAAGCTGTTAGTTGTTGTTTGGTGTTTTCTTGTTAAATAATATATATGTATTGTTGGTTTTTTTTCTATTTTATATTTTTTTTTGGTCATAATCTCTGTTTGAATGTTAAAAAGCATATAGATGTTGTGAATTTCAATTAACTTTTTCCTGTGACTTTCTTTTGGATAAATTTCCATGTATTGTGTGGTAAATCACAATCAATTCCCTGCTATGTAATTTCAAGGAATATTGATTGTTTTTCAGCGACATTTGACTTGCTGATTTTGTGTGATATAAACTCCTACCATCTTCTATATTATAACTCACTTACTTACCACACCTTCCATGTGATCATCTAGCTAGCTTATCACTCAATATGTTTATACAGAATTAAAATTTGTGAACGTGAGAACAAAACAGACATAAAAAACAATATAAGTTGAGTGTAAACCATGAATTGGAGATTCGTCAAATACCCTTGCTAAGTGAAAATTTTAGAACCATCAACACTCATCTTGGGAAAAGTTTTAGTATCAATTTGAAAATTAGATCCTGTGGGATATATTCAGTAAAAACCTGCTATAAGACAATTTTATTAATTACAAATTGATTCAAAATCTGACAACCATTTCAGCCAAAATACACAATTTGTTAGCTAGTTGACTAAAGTGTGGTTGATATTTTCTCAAGAACAGTTGTGGATTAGTTGTTGATTAGATATTCACATATTCTTTTCTTAGTTTATCACGATATGATATTTACTGGATCCTATAATATGGCTTGTTTGAGATAGTATTTCCATATTGACCTCCTAGTCCTGAAAAATTAAGCCAAAATATTTTGGAAGAAATGATATCAGGTTAATGCTTGATTTGAACAAGCAGTCTGCTTCAGATTTTTTTAAGGCCGTGGTTATTTGTACCACGAAGGTACAAAAATGGGTATTACAAACATATGGCCATCCATACTAACCTTAACAAAGTCACTTAATATCATTCTTGACAATCTAAATGGCTTCTCGCTTTGTAAATAAACCACAAAATTAGCGCGCCTTTTGTGTCTTATATTATCCATACTGTTGTTAGCAGCCATAGAGAACACACAATCAAGACGGTGCAAATAGCCAGTGTGTTTTTTTAAACAGTTTTCATGTTTGAGGACTATATGAAAATATTCTCTCGAACAAGCCATACACTGCACGTTTTGAAATTTTTAATTATAGATTAATATATTAGCATAATGAATTAAGCTATATGATAATTTATTCAAAATGAAGTTAGATTTAGGAATTGTTTTGTAATATTTTTAGTTTGTATTTTGTGTGTTAAGTTCTTATTAAGAAGCATAATGAAAATTAATATAAGTTTTTGTAGAGAAATACATCGTTAGTGAGTAGGATTGTAAACTTAATTTTAAACTACATCATGAGTAGCTTGTACTAAAGGTGTAACTATTGAAGTTATCTTATTTTTAATATTGGAACATTTTCTATGAAGAGAGCAATATTTTTACGATTGAAAAAAAAATTGATTTAAAGCAGGAAAATAATGCGATTGAGATGAAATGTAGTGAGAATACTCAGAATCTCAGAAACTCAGAGTCTAGAACATCATCCTGTCGTATTTTAGTGGATGAAAAGTGAAGTAGCACTGGATAATTCTGGTTTAAGAAGGATTGATATTAGCTCTTTCTTTCTAAACTTACTCGACAATTCCTTTAACTAAATTTTTCAACCCGGTTTCCCCCTGTCAGTGGTACGAGGGGCTGACATGGAAAAAGCTTCTAGTCGTTCGGATGGGACAATAATACGAGGCCCTGTTTGCTACAGGCTGTGCACATTAAAGATCCCTCGACAGTTGGAAATCGAAAAAGAGCAGTTTAATGCCACTGTCCTGACAAAATTTCCCTCATTGCACCCTGCATGGCGTTGCCCGTCTTCATTAGCCCACATGGTGCAGAAAAGTAAAACTCCATTAATTTCATTTCATTTTCCTTTAACGAGTATCTGGCATTTTCAAATTTAATTGGTATATCGGCTCTTCCAAGTATAACAGTAACTTTCCAATATTATATTGCTCTTACGAAGCTAATAATGGCCCTTGCAAGTCTGATAATGCCCTAGTAAGATTAATAATTGCCTTAGCAAGCTTGATAACGGCCCACTTAGCTTATCATGATGTAGTTTATGGTTTCTGATATAGAATTAATTGTATATTTATTAATTAGATGTTATTTTGCAGTGTTTTTATGTTGAAATGAAATTGACTTTAACCGTTATATGTCCCATTGATAGAAAGTAAATTAGAATGTTCATAATCATTCTTGAAATAGCTACTTAACTTGAACTGTGTAATGTTTATCTTGACATGTCTTTTAGATGTGCTATACTATCGTTGATTATTCACAAATATAGGCATAATGTGCTAATATTTAACAGCCTCAAGTTAGTCATAGCATATTATTTACTATGTGTATTTTTTGATAAAATCAACCACCATACATGTAAGACAGGATCCTCAAAATTGATACTCCACAAAGTTTTGTCACATCTTCAAAGGGAAAAAACACAGGCATTTGTATACATGTATATTACTTATTAGTAAGGGCATTGCTATACTATATTGATATATAGCATCCTAGCCCAACAACTCAAGCCCATCCATTTAGACCTGATATTGTCACTGAGCAGTTATTGTTTGTGTACATAAAGAGAGTTCAAATTGTCATTGGACGAGCACAAATGTCTTGGCTTTTCTCTAATGGAAACAAATGCCTGTCGGTTGACTATACTAGAAACAAATGCCTGTGGGTTATAAAATCTAAATGTTTATTTATTTATTTTTGTTGTATATTTACAATCCCTATATGTACTCTGTCTGTTCAGCCATTGTTTATTTCTGATTGTTAATATTGTCTGTTCCTGCATAAACTCATTTTAAATAAGAGCCATTGCTAAAGATTTTCTTTGAATAAATTTTTCACAATTCCAGTTAGTGTTGGTTGTATATATATAAATACTGGTGCTATACCCACATCAATTTTATCCCAGAACAAAAAAAAGTAAAATCTCTAGGGATGAAAGTATGCATAGGTGAGGCTTGTGACATAAGTCTTAACATCTGAGAAAGGGGACCCCAAAATTCTGCAACTTATCTGGGAGAAAGGTAATGAATTTGTAGAAGCGGGGCCCAGAATTCAGTTTTAACAGTGTTTGCTCTCTAAATACATGGGAATACTGCCATGAAGTTTTCATGTTCAAGATGTTATCTATTCGAGACAATTTCATCTGCTGACTGATTGGAAGGGTTAATGCTCTGGTACATAATACAACAAGAACTAGTACGGTACTTAAAATTGTAAAACAAAGCAGTTCATTTTGAGTATTTAATATTTTCTCATGACTTCACATTTACACACAGCACAATATCACAGGTAATTATTGTCCCCAAGTTGTATTGAGGCAATCTTATGTGGTAGCAGTTGAAAGGCGGCTCTTGGAAGCAGAATTCTTTCCTGATGATTGGACTGCACAGAACACAAATCTTAGCAGACGACAATTAAACTCACTACCGAATGAGCTATTGACCCAGTGTGGGAGGAATGTGTAGCTCCATTTTTTACAGCATGACATGACATTATCACCATATTATCACAACACTAATATACTATGGATGACTATATCTTAACATTTCAGTTAACAATACACCAAGAATGATCCTCACCAGCTTGCCTGGAACTAATTCAAAATCTTCAGTTTTCCATGGTTTCTTTTTGGAACTAATTCCAATTGTCTTGGTCAGGAAAAAATTCATAATTCCTTGCACAGGAAAAAATTCCAAATCTTTACAAAGTGCTAAACTTTCTCCAAGTTATCAGGGTCTGAGAATCGAACAGTAAGTATATAAAATATGGCAGGGAAGGGAACTAGGGCTATGAGGGGGGCGTGAAATACAGGCTGTGTTAGTCTAGTTAATGATATTATACCGTACGCATGTAACACCCAATGTCCTAATATTATGATGATATTTCTAGGGTTCGTTAAACTGTTTTTAATTAAACTCTTCATTGTCTGAAATGAAACAAAATAAATCAGATAATTTTGCTTGTCAAATTTGAATACATTGTTGGAAGAACTATCTGTAAAGATAGCTTGCGAGGCATGGTAACATACGCCCACTGGCAGCTGTCAGAAATGATTAAACAGTCTTTAGTGACTACAGGGTTGCACAATATAGCTAATAGAGTGAAACGTCAAGTCAGACACGATATTTCGGTGAAAAATTATCCGATCATCGCGAAAATCAATAGGGATCATCTTCATAATGACATTGACACACAAAATAAAAATCAAAAGAATCTGTAAACAATTGTAGCCTGTAGAGTGAGCACGGGTTGCAGAATATAGCTAATAGAGTAAAACGTCAGGTCAGACACGATATTTCGGTGAAAAATTATCCGATCATCATGAAAATCAATAGATCATCATGAAAATCAATAGGAATCATCTTCATAATGACATAGACATACAAAATAAAAATCAAAAGAATCTGTAAAGAATTGTAGCCTGTAGAGTGAGCACGAGTAGCACAATATAGCTAATAGAGTAAAACGTCAAGTCAGACAGGATATTTCGGTGAAAAATTATCTGATCATCATGAAAATCAATAGGGATCATCTTCATAATAACATTGACACACAAAAAAAAAATCAAAAGAATCTGTAAAAAATTGTAGCCTGTAGAGTGAGCACGAGTTGCACAATATAGCTAATAGAGAAAAACGTCAAGTCAGACAGGATATTTCGGTGAAAAATTATCCGATCATCACGAAAATCAATAGGGATCATCTTCATAACAACATTGACATACAAAATAAAAATCAAAAGAATCCATAAAGAACTGTAGCCTGTAGAGTGAGCACGAGTCAAATGTAAACGGACGGACGGACGGACCGACGGGGTGATTACAATATACGCCCATCTTACGTGTGGGCGTATAAAAACTGGAATGAAACAGAGTTTTAAATTCTGCTGTAGAATACCATGCATTTACTTGACACCCCTTAACTTTCTATTGAACTATTCCACACATGCATTCTTTCAATTAATATGAACTGTATATGTATCATGTGTAAAAACAGGGGTGTTTTCTACCTACCTGATCATCCATACAAGATAAATGAAAAGCACTGGTTACAACTGAGGCTATTAAAATTATAGAAGGGAAGGCATAATCTGAAATATACAAAAACAGAATTTATCAAATCATTATAATAAACACAATACACTTTATTGAATTAAACGGTGTTTCAATGATGGAACTCTTGTCTTAATCTAGCAAATGGTTAACCATAAATGTTTTATGTTTAGACTAGTGTAATGCAGAATTTTTTTATGTTATATTGTCATGAAAACTTCTGTAAAACTGAGAAACAAAATCAAAACAGCTGAATAAACTCCCCTTTGTACCTAAATCTTACGATAAATAAATTCTTTCCACCATGCAGAGTTCATCAGAAACCTTTTTCATTAAAAATTCTACGATCAATTTTGTCTGATCGTCTGGTATGGTTTTTCTCAAAATAAAATTATATTTAAACCTCACTTTCTGAATGTAAAAGCTAAAGAAATCAAAGACTTACATAACAATCCTGCAGCAACAGCATTCACTGCTATTAATATAGGTAGGAAATACAGGGCAGCATAAATAGACTTGTTTCCCCGGCCATCCGCTAGTTTACATGACACTATAGGTCGTATTATTAATAATAGTGCTATAGAGAAAGCATAGTATATCATTCCTAGAGTATATCTGTAATAGAATTCAAACACATTATTAAACGGAAAAATAACCATAGCAGATAACTTTTCATCACAATTGACATGTGTTGTCTTCAGATGCAATGAAGAAGAGGGGAAATATACAAATATACATAATCATTGGTTTACCAGCTGATAACTTTAAATCACAAAATACAAAATAAAAGAAGTGACACTCCTTACAGTGGATAGACTATCTCCTGACTACAATGTAATGTAGTAGTATAGTTTAGACTAGGATTATACAGGAGAGTGTACCAATCAGCTAGGTGGTTCACAGGACACGATCTAATCTCCAGTGGTCCTATAGGATCTGCTAGTACCAACGTTACTATTCCTGCTACAACACTCTCTACCAAGGCACTGATATGTAATATCAACACAGACCTGTATAGATAAAAATGGAAGAATGAAAAGAAAACATTAATTTTTTACAGGGATAACAACTTTGACTCCAGGGTGGACCATGGTAAAATCTCTGTTTCCACTGCCTGTGCCTGTGGAATTAGTATGACAATGTTAATGAGAAGACATTAAAATATTTCCTACCTTTTACCCCTAGTTTTATAGTCTATATAAAACCAATGTAAACAAAGTGATAACAGAGCCATGAAGCCCATATATAACCAATCATAAAATGTAGGCTTATTTTCACATCTGATACACAGCGAGTTTTCATTAGGTTGATAACCACGGGGACACGCCTGGAAAATATTAAGCCAAGTAGAATAATTAAAGGGATTGTAAAGAGGTGATTTCAGCTTTTTATGTGTCTCCATTTGAATCATTTCCATTTTCTTTCAGATGTATGTAGTTCCTGTTATTAAAGATGTACATCGTTGCTATCTAAAATGTTGATCTTGGATTTCGAGTTGCCTTATGTTGTTTTAACCGTTGGTTTATATATGATAGCAGTAATATCTAAGGGCCTTTGCAACAGCTATGTCATTGGTAAGCTTAAGTGCATATTTCTCAGGTTGTTAGATTAGTTTATAAGCCCAGGTATGTTTTGTAGTGCTGAAGTCTTTGTAAACACTAAAGCAAACTAATAATCCTAATACCTACCCCACATTCAGCCCCTGGATTCACTCTTCCACAATATAGACCAGGACACTTTCTACTGATAACTGAAAAAAAAACAACCGACATGGATGCCACTTTAAAAGGATGGAAACAAACAGATCATACTGTTTATCTATTCAGTCGGTCTTAAGATTTATTGCTTCTTAGTCAACCTCAGTACTAACATAATTTTTAGGATGAAACTTCATCAGCCATGATTTAATCATACATTGTCGGTGATTTTGTCTGCTTCGGTAATATCTGTTTTGGAGAAAGTATGAAACACTAGAGTGTTATCCAATAATCAAGAATTAAAATAGGACGTAAGCTGTAAACATAAGAACCCTCTGCACCAAACTACTCATCCGAAATAATGGAGTGAGTGAGAGTGAGTTTTTCATAAAATAAACATTAGGCCTACCGTTCATCTTCACAATTTCCACGTCTCCATACGACACAGGCAAATTGAAGAAACAAACCAATACCAAAATTGAGATTTTTAGACGCAGTTTCATGTCTGCAAGGTAGTTTGAAAATATAAATTGTAAATTGTTTAGAAAGATTTTGGTTTATTTATGTGGTTGAACTACTTTAGCGAAACGGTGGCCTCCCGGAAGTTGTCAAACCCAGAGGTGTGTGTTTTTGAAAACTAATACAATTTGATGTAACGTTACAGGGAGTTTTTTGACTGAAATAATCAATCTCTTAAGGAACGCCTTTTATGATTTCAATAGAAATTTGCAAAATGCCAAAGTTATTAACCATATATCGATATTAAGCTTTTGGTCTAAAACACAAAATCAAGTTGAACCGGAAGCAATGTCTATTTGCGGGAAATGTCTTCCAAAATTTCGATCCTGAAAACGGAATCATGTCAATTAAAACATTAAAAATGTAGAATATGTGCAACTGCATAGACTTTCTTAGTTCAGAAGAGAACAAAAACAACACAACTCATGAAGATTTTCACTTGTCATCTGTCGATTGTGAGTTATAAACCGTTTTAGTCGGACAGGTGCCCGTCTTTTAACTACCGAATGAATAGGAACACAGTATAGCACATAGAACACCTCTGTATTTTTTATCCGTAGTTTAGGACAAACAATAATGTCAGGTCTATTGATAATTTTTTTCTATTTTTGATGACATGCAAAGTGGTCCTTCTTTCTATATGATTGACATGTTGATATGGATGTGTTGTTTCATGTTTTGGGAGCCACGGTGGCTCAGTGAGACGCTTGCTCGATAACCTGAAGTTTCAGGGTTCAGTCCCGGCATAGGTCGTGATGATACCTTCAGATATTTCAACCCGGTTTCCCCCTGTCAGTGATGCAGGTATGAGGGGCCGACATGGAAAAAGTGCTAGTCTTTTGGAAGGGACAATAAACCGAGGCCCTGTTTGCTTCAGTTCAGACTGTGCATGTTCAAGATCCCTCGATAGTTGGAAATCGAAAAAGAGCAGGCTAATGCTGCTGTCCTGGCAAACATTCCCTCATTGTACCCTGCATGGCGTTGCTCGTCTTCCTGCAGAAAAGTAGGATGTAAAGATCACTTCATTTCATTTGATTTTATTTGTTTCATGTTTTCTGGCATTCGCTGGTTTCTACTCTTGCCTTCCATGATCTAACGAGTTTCTTCCTGATATTGTGTTTAGTGATATTTTGACTCATTAGAATTAATAAGTGTTATAATATATCCTAATTAAATAGCAAGTTAATATTCTAATTCATACAAAAATGACCAATAAAAAGCAATCCTATAAAAACAACAGTTAGTCTGAATTGTTAAATTCCTTTACATTCGTGGATATATTATTTCAGTGGTTATAGATATATGTAAATAAATCCTATCATTTGTATTTATAATTTGTAAATAAAAACTGACATGTTTATTTATCATTGTAGTTGTTATAGAAGATGTAAAATATAAGCTGATATTTATATTTTCAGTTATCATAGAAGGGTTGAACTCAGCCAGTCATCCTGGAGTCTGATGAGATGATAGCAGCATGTGAAACCCAGGATTTCGTGCCATTTGGCCGAGAATACATTCACCATCATCCTGGTCATTTTCAGCTGCAAGTACAAAATACAAAACATGCTGAACATGGTCTCCATATTCTCAAAATATTTCGTGATTCACCACATGAAGCTGGCAAGGTAGGTGGACAAAATAGTTTTCTTCTATATTTTCTCTGGTGATGGCAGGCACGATATATCAGTAAACAAATACATTGCCCAAGGACATGCCACGATTCATGAACTTTCAAATTGGATGGAAAAAATTAGAAGCATGTTAAAAACTCGAAATGGTTATTACTAGAAACACCAAGATGATGTTGCAATATGTAGTCTAAGCTTTATATACTTATTGAAAAATTACTAGTAAAGGAATTTAGAGTAGAGTGACAGTCAGTTATCAGTGGCGTAAACCAGGTTTACGAGGGGGCGAAATATCTGAGGTTGCACGTGGTTCTAACCTAGTTATGAGATATTTGCCCAAAAAACATGTCTGCGGGGCTGTGCAGGGGGGCAGGTGACCCCTCTGCTCCCCTTTGGCTCCACCACTGTCAATTATATGTAAATTGTTTTGGCAAAGTTTGATCAGTACTAGTATTAGATTTATGTGGTTCTCACACTGTCATCAACAAAATCAAATCATGGTGAATTCAAACAAAGAAACATTAATAATATTAATTCTGTTATTACAGAAAGAACAATGGCTATTTCGACACCACGAAGGAGAAGGGGAAGAAAAATACGATGAAGAATTATACGTCAGTGATAGAACTGTTGTCTGGAGTAAAGGTGGACAGAACGGTGTACAAAACGTTCTTAAAACATTCACAGTCGATTCACCAGTTGTTCAGGTAAGAGTTGGAGGAATAAATTTACTAGACATGTTGCAGATTGATTTTTTTCTCAAAATAGATTTTAGTTGATGAAGTAGCTAAGTATTACATTTTGTCCACAAAATATTTTTCAGGCATTATGGGGGACGTTTATTTTAAGTGGAAAAGACAAGAATACTACTCCTCTTTCCTCTGTAGAATCTACAGGTAATATAAATTCATTGCTTTCGCTGAAAATCCTTTTTTTATACCCCCACATGAAATGTCGAGCTCGGTTGTGGGCATGACCCATGTCTGTGTGACTGTGTGACAGAAAGGTATTTGTATAATGGAATCTACCAGTACACATAGTTTTTCAGTCTTAATATAATATATTATAATTCTAGGGACTGTACAGAAAGGTATTTGTGTAATAGAATCAACAAGTACTCTCAGTTTCTTTAAAGAAGATGGAGGTGAATATTTAACAGCTCTGCCTTTCCAGGTAATTCATTTATTTAAAAACATTCAAATTTAAAAGTTTAAAGCCAAAGTTAAATACCCAACCAGCCATTATGTTATTGCCAGCCAGGATGATTGATATGGTGGGCAGACTGCAGGAACAATTATTTTCTGAAATATCTTTATGTATGGATAATCTATTTAGCCTTAAAGGCTTGTGGGCACCCATTTAAGATTTCCAGTGTGCTGGAACTATTTTATGCTAGAAGCCATCCCAATGTTTTTGCAGGTGTCTCAAGCTTGGCCAATTAAAAATGGATTATTATTTGAAAGATGTTTAGCACAGTTTGAATATTCAGCTCCAAAAAAGTAAGAAATTTTATTTTTTCAACTAAAAATCTTGAAAGGGACACTAGGCCTTGTGCTATTGACTGTGCCGGTTAAAGATGTCGTGATATTTGACAAATGAAAAAGAGTATGCTAGTGCTGATATCATGACAAAGTTTCTCACGCACACTGCATGGCATTGCTTGTCTTATGGTGTAGAAAAGTAGGACATTAAACTCCATTTATTCTCCCTGGTGTAGTGGAGAGCTTATTAAATATTTTTGTATTTAACAGGAATGCACCGAATCAGACTATAGTATTTAGTATGTTACATCCATTAGAAGAGGTGGCACCAGTCATTACTAAAACTTCAGGTATTGTTTAATATTTACACTGAGACATTTTGTCAATTTTTCATTTTTCCAAAATCTTCATACGTTTGTTACAATTTTCTATGCAAATTTGCAAATGATAAATTTGAGTGTTAAATGATGTCACCATCACAAAAGCTGTTAATGATATCTTATGGCCTTCGCTAAAGTACTTTATTAAAGGCTTAGTTTTGGTGGAATTGCAAGAGCCAAAGAACCCTGACTGAAGATAAGAAGATCTCTCTTTAAGGTTCAGGGAATATTATTTTATATTTTTTGACTCTCAGTGACAAATGACATGGAATTATTTTACAGGTGCTGGAGGGTGTCCTAAGATTAACTATTTAACGGACAATACCCAACATATATTATTTACTAATATAGAACCTTCTATAGCTTTTACTTACGATACTATGTTAGGTTTACATTCAGCCTGGAGAATCAGACGTGCTCGACAAGAGGTTAGTACATCAAAGTTTTTTAGTCATGTCTGTCACTGAATGGACTAAAACAGTTTATAGTATTTTTGAGTTGAATTGAGAGGTGTGGAAACATTACCTCATTTGCTTGGTTACCTCTTACAAATAGTGATTGCAGAGTCTAACCAAGCTGGTAAAAAAAATCCTTGTGAACCAGTAGTATTTATCCCTGAAAAATTGTTTGTTTCTTTCTTTCACATTTCAGCCTTGAACGATTTTCAACATATCTACAAATTAAATGAACTTTGTTGTAAATATGGCATTTAATTTTCTTTTTCAAGGACCAGTTAGTAAAATGGGTTCTTGAAAACCAAGGTTGTTATCCTTGTGAACGTGGCTTAATTCTTTCTTTATTTTGTAGGAATGTTGTACCATATCTGGATATTTTGATACAGGCAACGCCAGTTTTAGTCACTTAATGCCAACAACACCAGTGGCGGGTCTGAACCAATCAAGTAGTACCCAATCAAGGTTTCGAGCCAGTCCGTTTATCAACTCACCGAATGTCTCCCCGCTACGAACCTTGTCTGGTAAACTGTCAACGCCCTCTACTTCTACATCTCGTTCACCTAGTTTACAAACAATGGCTGCCGTAAGGTACGTGTCATCTATTTATAGAAACTGTCAACAGGTTTAATTTAAGCAGTATTACATTGTAATTTACCATTTGAATTGACCTCTTTTGTGATGTATTTTTTCTGTGATTAGCAAAATAAGATTTTGTTATGACAATAAGAATCAAATCATATTGTATATTATATATTTTTTTGAAAATTATGTACATAGATGACAAAAGAAAAATAGAAAATTCCACAATTTGGCTGAATTTAAGACGAGTTGATCCCTTGTCTTTTGTATTGTATCTCATTTCTAATTGCAGTCGTAGTCAGTCCCCAGCTGTTGGAGCCAATTCTATGAGGAAATTCTTGTCACCAGTCTTAGGTCAAACTGGGGGTGTGACTAAATCACCAAATGTCTCCATGAGAACACCAAGTGGACCCCACAACCTATCTCTGATACCCCCAGATAGTTATAGTGAATGGGTTGAACCACTACAGCCCGAGATTTGTCTGGAGCATTTATGGACTGAACCAACTCCCACTATGAGGTAATTCAACTCTATTGTTATCTGTCAGTGATGCAGGTCAAGAGGACTAACATGGTAACAGCTTTGAGTTCTGTGTGCTACAGACTGTTCTAGGGTAGGCTATTGTCATGTTCTGCCAAAAGTTTCCTTATTGCACCATGAATTGCGCTGCTCATGTTTATGAGCCCAAAAGGGGTTCAAATAAGTAGAATTTTAAACTCGTTTCATTTTATTTCATTTACACTGTATAACTTGCACAGTTTTCGTTTCAGTTATTAAATGATGTTGGATTTGAACAAGATGTGAATAAGAATTCATTTCATTGTGGTTGTTTCTGTATATTTTTAGAGATGGTAGTCTAGGGAAAGCATCGAAAGTATTTTTAACAAAAGATATGTGTGGTCAACAGTTTATATGTTATATGGTTCCTTATAAACAACATCTTAGGTAGGTTGTGGTGTTAGTTGGTGGTTCTTTTGTGGAATGGGATGCCAAGATTTGGATTTGAAACCCAAAGCCCAGTGTTTTTAGACAGTAAATGTTAAATCCTTAGATGTATAGAGGATTTCTAAACTATTTATATGTACCAGGGATACTAATAGCATTTGACTTGAACCATTTCAATATTCAGTTAAATGACTGTGCTTCATGCAAATATACAATAATTGCGTTCCATTATACCACTATCTCAAAATCTGCTAATAATCAAGCCTTGGCAATAGTGTTTTAGTGGAATTGCAGGAACCACAGACTTCTGATTTTATTTGCAGGTTATTGAAGTTTGAAGAAAGTAATGATTTACAGAAGTTAATATCTGGAAGTTTAACTTTCATTTCAGCGAAAGATGCTGTCCCTATTGAGGTCAGTTTGCTACCAGTTTATCTTTTGAGATTGATGGTCCAAGAAATCATGTTAAAATCCCTGGATAGTTGAAAATAATAATAAAAAAAAATGACTGAAAATATCAAAACATGGAAAGCTAGATTGGAAACAGTTGCAACCTGAATATCTCACCTATCAAATGTTACAGTGGTTATCTTTGTGGTACAGTAATGGTATTGAGTTTTTTAGTGTCATATCCTAATAGATTTGTTTATATATTGTAGAGTTTAGATCTATTGGTAGTATTAGAACCTGGTGGATTTCTCAATGTATATAGTGGTACCACTAAGGTATATAGTTCTCTTATTCTGCTATATTTTATCAGATCTACAGTACGGACCACTTGCTGATACTTAGAGGATGTATCCCTTAGTAGTTGGAAATAGAATAGACAAGATAGTGCCCAACTAACCAAGTTTCCTTCATTCTACACTGCATGGAGATGTTGATTGTTTATAGCTCAACATGATGATCAAATATAAATTCTACCCTGTTTAAAGAAACCTTTCTAATTTTGGGAACTCCAGATAAATTAATTCTTCACTTTTCAAAAAACACTTCCTCATATGTAAAGTTCCTTCACTGCTACTGATCTATTGCTAAACTGTTATTTTGGACGTATCTTTTTATTTTATCATCTTATTTTGTAGATAAGTCAACTTCACATACCCTTTCTACCTTTAAATTCTGGTTCGTTGAGTTTATTACGACCGATGACCCCTCTAGGCAGCCCAACTCGTGGTATTTTTACATCCAGTAGACCGGCTAGCGCCATGGATGCCAGATTTGATGAGGAGGTAGGTAGAATGAACTGGGGTAGACCTTTATTCGTGAGTTCAGCTCATTCAGATTTGATAGAATCAACTGTCAGTAAAACAAGTTACAAACAGGGTTCAAACTGCGTTCCATGTGTGCTGAAGAAAAAAAGTAGGTTTAGACAGAATTCAAAATGAGGGAGAAAGAACTTGGGGTCTGTTTCACAACATTTTAACTGAACTACAGACAAGATTTTAAGAAATTAAGTAATCTGATTGGCTCATAAAGCTGAACGTAAAATAGATTTTAACTATTGGCCAATCAGATTGCTAGAATACTAAAATCATTCTTAATTAAGTTTTTGTGAAACAGACTCTAGAAGGGTAAATTTTGAAGTTGTACCATTCGATTGGCACCAAGTATTCAGTATTTGGAATAGTGTCAAGAGAAATCCAGAAGCAGCTACGCAATCTAAGACATTGGCTATAAACTACACATTGATTTAATGTAACACAGGCTAAGGTAGATCAGTAGTCTGAAGATAGCACAGCATGAAACTCTGTCAGAGTAACCACATGTTTTAGGTTCTGTTTTAATATATTTAAATACTATTTTAGATAAGTCATCTGTCACCAGTACAAACTGATCTAGAAGATAGCAGCCATATTGAAGGTGATTTAATGGCTCCACAATGTAATACATTTATACAGAACATGAGAGATAATGTAGACAATAGATTTACTATAGTAAGTATAGACATTTCTTTATGTTTGTTTGTTAACTTATAAATGATCATGGGCTGGCTGCGAGAAACTGAATAGCGTTAAATTAGTTATATTTCAGGCTTGAGCAGGGCTGATTTTTTCATTGGAAAGTTTAAGACACATATGATTAGATATTCAAAACTATTACCTATTCCTACTGTGTTTCACTTTAGCAGGTAAACTTAGTAATAGAGACAGGTCATAAATTTTCATCATGTCACATGATTTTCAAACGGACAAATCAAGACACTTCTACTTTCGGTTTGTTTTATAAATATGAACACACACATGTTTTGAAATGTTTTATTTCTATATTTTCAGGAATTATTAAATGGTAATCTCTGTAGAACAACGTTACCTGCTCTGAGTACATCACCTGGCAGTAAGTTTATTATTCTTTATAAAGACCTTGGTAACTCTGTAATATTGACGTCCAACAACATTGAGGTTTCAATTTCTTCAATATCAAGCTATTACGAACCTTGTCTTATACCTTGACTAAAATAGCCACCTTTTTTGTATCACATAAGTTTGTAAATGGACCATTCCAATTTTCAAGTATTTATCTAATCTTATCTAAGGGACCTGCAGTAACCAATGACTAATAATTATTTTAAATATATTTCAGTTGATCTATGTTTGAAGGCATTAAAACATCTCCTACCAAAAGATATTGCGTTACAAGTTTTAGGACGGTGGTATACGGCCAGAAATATTCCAGGTGGTCTCGGCAACCAATCAGAATGGTCGTTATTCTATAAATCATTACTAGGAATGATGGGATACGATACAAGTCGTCTGTCTTTAACGAGCAAGGTGGGTAATTATCAGTATAAAAACATTGTTAGTTATTATTTGAGGGAGGCTGTAGCTCAATCTATCAAAGTGTTGTCTTATTATGACATTTACCAGATTTTTCATTCATACAGTGTGCAGTCTTGTTCTATCATTTGCTAGGTTTTGCATGCTATGTGGCTGGTAGAGCACCTGCTAGTTTTGAAAAGATTTAAGCAGAGAAAATTTATTGATACAGAAATATTACATGCTATACCTGATATGATTTAAATTGTAGAGAGATTTAGACACGTCCATGTCACCTGTTATGTCAGCGAAAAGATCAAAACCATCAGAGATTGGCTCAGAACAGGTAAACTGTATTTTGTTTTATTTTATTATATTTGGTTTATGAAATTCTGGGATGAGATCCTCTAAAAAATATTGGTATTTTACACTAAAAAATGATACCCTTGGGCCCTGATATTCAAAAACATTAATGAAATTTTACATATCGGATATCTGTGATACTGTATTTAATGACAACTCAAACTTAATATAACAGAAAATAACTGTAGAATATCAAAAAGTTTATTAACAACAGAACAAGTAACTATCAGTGTCTGTTAAGTTTTAAGATATTCTACAAGTTACTATCCTGACTTTCACTATAGTTTATTTCTCTGTTAAAATAGAAGTAGAATATTAAATAAGTTTATTGACAACAGAACAAGTAACTATCAGTGTCTGTTAAGTTTTATCAATATTTTCACAAGTGACATTTCTTTTGTTTATATAAACTATGTGCTGCAGAATTTTTTATTGCCCCAGTATTACAAAGTCTCAATTTTTTTAAGGATTGGGAATATTTGGTGAACTCGACACATCATCAGCTAACAGAAGAATGTTCATCTCAGATTCATAATTTAACAGACTGTGAATTAATACCAGATAGATCCTCCTACTCTAAACCTTGTACCTTATCTACTACAGCTCTTCTCTTTCAACATTGTCCTGCCGTCATGTTGGCTCTACATTTAATATATGAGGTATGCTAGTTTGATATTTGTTAGACCTTGAGGATGGGGTGTGTCGGTTAGATTGTTGAAATCTTCACATGATGTCATTTGCTTAGTTACATTGAACAAATAGTGGTCGTGGGTTTTAATGTAGAACATTGTGTGAAAGCCCAGTGACCTGGAGGATGTTATCGCTCCTCATAATTCCACTCGACCTGTCAATGTTAGTAGATAATGCAGATTGCAAGAGGTTTTCTCTATGATAAAGATGATCATTGTTAGCTTGAGAGATTATTCTTGTAAGAAATGGCTATTTTTTTATTTTTAATGATACAATAATGATTTATAATGATTGTGTATTTTAGGAAATGAAGTTAAATATTTTATTGGGTGAAGAGTTGAAAGATTTGTCTATCTTATTGTACCAGATTGCTAGGTAAGTAGTCTTCTTTAAAATGTCTTTCAGGTAACCATGCTTGTCAGTGATGTAGTCTTGAACAATTGTCTTGTCAGTAAAGGCTTTCATGTACTTTATAAAAAAGAAAAAGTAGTACTATGTGTTTTACAAGTTTGATATCAATAAAAGAGTCAGTCAGTCTACTAATTATCATCATTGCAAACAACATAGGAATATTTAACTCAGTGTGAACTAACCTATGTATAAACTCTGTCAGATTGTAAATGAGTAATGAATTACTTTGTTTTCTTCCAGTGATTTACAATGTCAGTCATATATAGATTATTACTGTCGTGATTTCCCCTCGTTATTTCATCAGTCAGATGATGTCAGCCAAGTTACTGATGGTAAATTAACTTTCTAATAGTTCTGGTGTATCTTCTTTATCTTGGTTATGTTACTTATTGAATTAAGTTGGTCAGAAGATGGAGTAAAACTCTGTAAATTCCAAGTGTTCCTCATTTTAAGGCAGTGGCAGCCTTTTTCAGCCTTCCCACCCCTGGAGCAATCACCTGGACAAAATGTTTCATCCACATTTTCAGCATGTGATGATGTGAGGTGCTCTCTCAATTCAAAATAAATTCTTCTCCTACACCAGTTGGCGACACCCCTGACACCCTAGTCCCACACCCCCAGGGGATGAAAACACCCCAAGTTAGGAACCAGAGTTTTATTGGATGAAAGTGTATATTGATTGAAAACAACTATTTATAATAAATTATATTATTTTTCAGATCACCTGTGTAAAATGCAGTATCCACATATCTTCCCGCGATCAGTACCCAGTGTACATCTGTGGATTTATAATCAGTTACACGGTCGACCTACGACGTCTCTACCCTATATACCTTTCGTCACTGATAGAATTAAAAACATTATTTCTGTATGTAGTCTCTATCTTCCAGTTTCTATATTCATTAATGTATTTAATTTGTATTTTAAGTTTGATTATTTGTATTTTAGGTTTGATTATTTGTATTTTATGTTGCTATATAAGGATAGGTATATACTAAGATTTGTTATCAAGTTTTACTGTAAATGATATATTCTCTGTAGCTTATTAAACTAAGATCTTATTCTTGAAAAATTACCTAAAGAAAATAAATGATTCCTTTATTCATTCATTCTATTCCAGCTGTATGCTCTAATGATATAATCTTCTGATTGACGCAATCAAATTTTATATACAGTGTCTAAAATTCTCAAATTTCTCATATTTGATTTCTGATTAAAGACATAATAGACATAGCTTGCTCTCCCTAACGTGTTATTATGAATTGTTTTTCTTCTAGTTGTATGCTATAATGTTAAATAGAGACATATCAACTGAACAAGCTATAGAAAAAAGTTTACGTAGGATTGCCCCTGCAGGTAACTTTTCTATTCTTACAATGGGTAGGGTCTCTGTTCTCTCTGAAGGGACTATAAAACATAGTACAGGCTGATTAAGAGAAAACAATTTAAAAAGGGACCTTCTTCGTTCAGTGGTTGATAAATTGAACTTTACTGATTATTTTGTATTTTTTAGGTCACAGAGCGCCGACAGCTGAAGTTTCCTTGTCTCACAGTTTTCAATTACATCCAGTTACTAATATTGCTGAAAAACTGGTTCTTACTATGACTGAATTAGGTACAAAATTCATTTCAATTACATTTCATAATAAATATACTGAATACATCGAGACAGGTCTTCCTTGGCTCAACATTTTTATCAATAGTCAATGCTGTTTTGTAGTGATTGAGTATAGAGTTTTCCCGGATTATCTGTACTGATTTACGTCTATGTCGATTGGAATATCATTTTAAAGGGAGGATCCTCACTATGAGCTCAATCAAACCTCTCAACATTCATTTTTCACAGATTATCCATGTTTACATTTAGGTTGACTGGAATAATGAGATATGTTATTTAAGTTCACCAGACTTTCACACACTGACTTTAATTAGAACCCATAATCATCATTTATTCTCGAAGCAAATCATCATATAAAGTTCCCAATGCTGTAACTAACTGACTGCTGCTGTGCATTTGTTTTTATTTTGAATTTTAAAAAGCAGACTAAAATTTGGTTCAGAAATATAAATTTCACTTTATTTCATTCCTAGGTATAATATCTCGAGATTTAGAATATCTACCAGTAGGAATTGTTCTACCATTAAGAGAAGCTATTTTAAACTGTCGTTGTAACCCTCCTTCTGATTGGCCAGAAAAAGCCTACAGTTTGATTGGTAAGTGGAAGTTTTTTTTTGAAAAGAATATATTCCATTATTTCATTTCTACAATTTCAGAAAAATTCTAAAAAAAATATTGAATGTGAATTATTTGATGGATTCATTGTTCTGTTATAAATATATAAACTTTAATATAACTGTTTTGGGTAATTCATGTAAACAACTTCACGTAAAAGCCTTAAAATATATTTGACTCTATTGTAGGTCGTGAAGATTTAAAATATATTTGATTCTATCGTAGGTCGTGAAGATTTAAAATATATTTGATTCTATTGTAGGTCGTGAAGATTTAAAATATATTTGATTCTATTGTAGGTCGTGAAGATTTAAAATATATTTGATTCTATCGTAGGTCGTGAAGATTTAAAATATATTTGACTCTATTGTAGGTCGTGAAGATTTAAAATATATTTGATTCTATTGTAGGTCGTGAAGATTTAAAATATATTTGATTCTATTGTAGGTCGTGAAGATTTAAAAACATCATTAGTTATAAAACGTAAACATATAGCCAACACGGAAAATAACAACTCTACTGATACTATGACTAGTAAAGATGAGGTTGACGGAATGGAGAGTTTAGACTTTGAGGTAATTTTAGTGTCTAAGACTATGACATTGCAGTTTTGAATGTAGATTGTGCTGTCAATGTATAGCTAATTGTTTTCTCCAGGACAATTTTTGATGCTCATGATATGTAGACAGTCGGTTAGAGCATTAGATGTTGATGTCATTCGCTTCGTTTCTTCGAGCAAATAGTGGTTGTGGTTTCTAATCTTGGTAAGCATATGAAGTATGGCATCTTTCTTCATTATTTCTGGTTATCCAGCTGTAAATGATCAAGCGGTCTGTATTTTTATTTTGATATTTGTTTTCATTTCAGCTTTTAAAGCTACGATTCAGTGAAGATCTGCGTATCCAGGAAGTACGCAGATTACTCCAGTCTTCTCAGCCAGCTAAAATATCATTGGTTCAAAAACCAGAAGTAAGGTAAGTAGACATCCCTGCCCTGCCCTGTCCTGCCCTGCCCTGCCCTGCCCTGCCCTGCCCTGCCCTGCCCTGCCCTGCCCTGCCCTGCCCTGCCCTGCCCTGCCCTGCCCTGCCCTGCCCTGCCCTGCCCTGCCCTGCCCAGCAAAACAGTCAAAAACACCCCTTAACTATAAACACAGAACACTTTCACATAAATGCAAAAAATACACATAATAAGGGTCATTAATTGAGGTAGGATCTCTAGTTAAGAGTCTTGTCCAAGTTTGACCCATCTGTTTGTATTTTTCAGTGATCATGATTTTATAGAAGAGAAAGAGAAACACCTGTATTGTATCTGTATCAGAACTATGGCTCTACCTATTGGAAGGTAAGAACTGGAAATTGAATTTGAATTTGAAAGATAGACATCCTTTAATTCTCATTCCTGTTTATACATTAACAACTGAAACATGTTGTGGATATTAAACCTTCATCTAGTGCAAAATAATTTAATCAGGTTCAAGGGAGATCACTCTTACTACATTATTAAATTTTCAGACCACAATGGTTGTAGATATTTGTATTAAATTAATTTTATGTCAGACTTTTGTTTGTAGGAGAACAGGCAATACCATGCAGTCTGGAATGAGGGACATTTTTTCAGAATAGTTATTTGTAATGCCCCCAATAAGTGTATTGTGTATTTTACAGGGGAATGCTGACACTATGTACCTATCACCCACTACCAACTGAAACATTACCTATACCTAAATTATGTTTGACTGGTAGGGCCTTACCAAGGTGGGTAAATTTTTATTGAATTAGTCCTGTTTTGCGTTGTGACGGAAGGATGAAAATGAAATGATGATATACGTCCTACTCTTCTGCTGCACCTGATGGGTAGTGTCAGAACAGCAGCATTAGCCTACTCTCTTTTCATTTCCAACTACTTCTGAGGGATCTTTAATATTCACTGCCTGAAGCACACAGAGCCTGGGTATATTGTCCTATCCTACTTCTCCCACCTGCATTATTTAACCGGGGAAAATTGGAAAGATCTTCAGGTATTATCTTGAACTTGCAATGAACCCTGGATTATCAGTTTAGCATGCAGGCATCTTACTCAGAAAACTACCACCAACCCCCACTGTCCCAGCCCTTAAAAATTATTAACTTTTTCTAGAAATACAACAGTAGAATTGACCCATATTGATACTCCAGCCAAGATGGCCGTTTGGCCTCACTTTCATAATGGTGTAGCAGCAGGCTTGAGAATCGCCAACTCGACACAGGTTTGTCAGGGAAATTTTGTTTTATTGTGATACAGGGGGTGAGAGTTCGGTTCGCACTTTAAAACATTGGAAAATTTATTAATTTGATATTGAAAGTGTAAATAGATGTTTTGAGTAAGGGCTGTAGCACATTCAGTTAGAGCTTTGAAATCCTTTCATGACCTCATTTGCTTCCTTATGTTGAACATCTTTCCTCATTTTTCCAGTCTACCCAGCTAAAATGGGTACGAATAATCTGGCAAAGATCAATGCCAAAAGGTTTGGCCAAGCTTGTAGAAATTTTTCCTATGAACTCGAGTTGTTATTCTTGAAAAAGATAATGGTAGAATAGCAGCTAAACCATAGTTAAATCCATTATTAATCCTGTTTAAGTCTGTTATTGATATTATAATTCCAGGTGGATTCAGCGTGGATTATCTATAACAGTCCAGTTGGCAATGATATGGTCAACGAATACGCTGGATTTTTAATGGCGTTGGGATTAAATGGTCATTTATTAAATCTAGAGACTCTCAATGTACACGATTATCTTTCACTGTAAGTTAAAGCTTTGGATAAATATTAGACATAGGGTGAAGCATTTAATTGGTTATATATAATATGACCTAGAACATAAGATGCATAGTAATTTCATCAGATCATAAATGGAGAATAGAGTCATTCCACAAAACAAAACATCCAGATTTGCATTTAAATGGCATATTGTATGAATGGTTACTAGTCTGAAAAATCTGTGTGTGGAAAATCCCCATAAAACGGGACCTAGTTTTTCTGCCTCGGCTCTACCTATCAGAGGCTTGAATAAAGCAGATGTTTGGGTCTGTAGATTACATGATAATTATTTCTATTTGTAGGGGCAGTCTATGACAACTATTGGTCTCATCTTAGGTTTATCTGCTGCCAAGTAAGTTACTATCATTATTACAGTTGATTTTGAAATCTGTATCCAAGTCAAAATACAGTTTTTATATCAACAAAAAGACCCTTGATAAAATAATATTAATTAATTGATGATAGATGGAATCTATTTATTTGATATTATTGTCACTTATTATATTTGTAGACGTGGTACGATGGATTTAGGAGTAACCAGAATGTTGAGTATCCATCTAACAGCTTTACTGCCCCCAACATCAACAGATCTAAACATTCCCCATGATGTACAGGTTGCTGGTATATTGGGAGTCGGTCTAGTCTATCAGGGCACGGGTAATCTACACTTTGCTGAAGTTCTACTGGCAGAAATAGGTGAGTAAAATATTAACAGAAGCAAGCGTGGTGGCACATGATTTGTTAGATAAATTTGAACCAGAGTTTAAAATGTGGGTTTTTTGGGCAGAGAAAAATAGTAGATGTAGACTGACTTCTAAATGGTAGCGTTTGGAATAGAATGTTCAGAATCAATCAACTCGGCAACAGTTCTTGCTGCAAATAATATGTCTGCAAATAATATGTTATCTAGCAAATAATATGTTATCTAGCAAATAATATGTTATCTAGTAAATCTGGGAGACTAAATTCACTTATTAATAAACTGATTGTTTTAATTTCTTACAGGTCGTCCCCCTGGTCCAGAAAATCAGAACTGTACCGACAGAGAGTCGTATGCTCTTGCGTCTGGGCTAGCTCTGGGATTAGTTATGTTTGGGGTAAGTATAGTTAATATTTGAACCAGGTATTAAGATGAATCTTAATCTTATCTTTCTATATGAGGACAGGTAGGACAGGCTGCAACTAATGTGGATATTTTGATAAAACAGTGTTATTAGCCCAGCCTAAAATAGCAAGAAAATACATATCCAACCATCTGAACTGTAATTTAGGTGACAGGACTTTTCTATGGATTGTTAAAACAACATCCAGGTCTAGCTCGCTGTTTCTCAAAAGATTTTTTTTTATATAGGGCCCTGGGTCTGTTACACTTATTTATAAATTTATTCTCGAAATAATCAAATGATTTTTTGTTTGTAGAAAGGTAAACAAGCTATGGGGTTATCAGATAACAGTATGGCCAATATTTTATGTCATTTTATGGTTGGAGGACAGAAACGACCTTTAGTAAGTATCAAATATTGCTGGTTAAATCAAGAAAAAAGATAAATAGAAGAAAAGTCATGCAATACCAAGATTTTGAGGATGTCTTGTAGCACAGTTGGTGGACTCTTTGCATGACATTATTTGCTTGGTTACATTGAACAAATGGTGGTTGTGGGTTCTAATTTGTGAAAGTCTGATGACATTTTTATTGTATGTTTAAAAAATTTTCATGTTTTTATTTCAGCCTGGTCCATACAGAGAACGATATAACTCTCCAAGTTATCTGATAAAGGTAAGACCAAATAAACTTTTGACTGGTATTTGCAACAACACTTAGAAGACCATATGTATCGAGTTCATGATTGTCATGTTCAATTCGGTTCCACTTAGACAACTAGGCGAGGCTTGCTACTTTGTAGGACATCATGGCATCAAGACCTATACAAAACAAGTCAGTATGCCAGCCTCAACGGCCATTTTATTGTCTGTTATATCTCTATCTAAAGGGGAGGCTCATTACTTCTTGGACACACTGGCATTAAGACCTTCACGAAATTAGTCCTAGTATGCCAGCTCTCTCTGCCATTTTTAAATCTGTTATATTGATCTATTACAGGAAGGAGACTGTGTGAATATTGATGTCACGGCACCAGGTGCTACTCTAGCTTTAGGAATGTTTTTCTTTAACACCAATAACAGGTAGGAAAATAAATTTCTGATGCCTTAGCCAGTGCTTCTGAGAGACATCCCTGTGTTGACTTTCAACCCCTAATACCAATAGCTAATATATTTTTATACATTTTGTGCTGTCACAATTGAATTTTGGCCAGATGGTTGTAAGATTTGAACATCTGATGTGGTAATCAATGCTATCAGTGTCCGCAACAAACATACAAATATGATGATTATTTTACAGTGCTGTAGCCGAATGGTTGAAAGCTCCTGATACACAATTCATGTTAAACAATGTACAACCTGATTTCCTTATGTTAAGGGTAAGAGTTGTTTCCTTGATTTACAATTGTGTGTGTGTGCACTGGACCCTTGACATTGTTATGAGTGATGCATTGGGCAGAAAGGTCTTGTCATTTCCATCTTGAATGGTTCTGGATGGCTAATCAACTCATTTCATGTCTACTTAGTTGATTTTATCATCTTGAATGATCCAGGTTGGCTATTTGACTCATATAGATCTTCTTGATTTTGCTGGCTGTAGAACTTTGACTTATTGATTGCCATTAGGGTAGGACGGGTGTGATTTTGCTGTACAATGCTACCTGTAACAGTTGATTTGGCTGTATTTATACACCATATCCTGTAGCTTCACAATGTCCAATGAGTTTGATCCGGGACAAGTTTCTAATTTTATTCACAGTTGTCTATATATTCAATCAGATTATTGTTTTTCCAGACGCTAAGTAGAGGTTTAGTATTATGGGATGCAGTAGTTCCAACACAAGAATGGGTATCAAGTAATATACCAGAGGTAGATAGAACGTGTGGTAACACACTTGTAAACAGTATATACCTAGCCCTGAAATAAAAAATTCTCACACTTTAAGATAGAAGACTTTTTAGATATACATGTCAAATTATTACAAACTTGGTTTAATGCCTTGACAGAATTAGCCACTTTTCTTGTATCATAGAAGTTTGTAAATGCAGCAATTATTTGGAATGTATGCTTGTATATTTCTAAGTAATTTTCTAAGCGATTGTCCTAGATTTTTCAGTAATTCTTGATGAAAATTAGTAAAAGATGTTAATTTATGGTTAAAATGTCCTGTTAGGAACTTCTAGAATCAACAACTCTGCTATTTATCCAGTTTGTTAGGAAGACAATGAATTTTTATTAATTACAGATTGTATCTAAATATGCGTTTAAAGAAAATGTAGAGATAAATTATGATGTTAATATAGATTATGAAACTATGAGGTTAGTTAATATATTTATTATTACCATTATAAACCTTGAGACTAAAGAAGATAAACTTTAATTTAAGGTCCACTCCATGACAGTGTGGCTCTAGAATATCTGAAATCAGTCTGTGATTGGTATGTCATTCCTACCAGTCCATACAGCTAATAACATTATATTGTAAATGGCAATGTGGACAATCTTGCTTAGCAACCGCTGATCTTATTTTTGCAAGAGGAGAAAGGAACATGTCAAAGTGTTGATAAAACTTTAACCAGTGATTGTTGTTCCATAAAACTGTGTCTTTACATCATACTTACATGACCAAATTTTATTGAAATTCTATTAAAGCTCTTTGTATATTCTGTCAGTTGATATACCATCTGAAAATCTTGCTACCTTCCATTGAAAGAATTTTAATTTCTTGTTCTTACAGTCAAGCCTATTGTAGTCTTATTACTGGTGCCTTTATGGTTCTGGGGTTAAAGTTCGCTGGTTCAGCCAATCAAATGGCGTTTGATTTAATGGTAGGTCTATAATATTTTTACAAAGATGCTATATTCAAGGGTCCCTTCCATCAAGCCACTAGATCTTTAGTCATTTTGCTCAGTTTTTCAATACCTATTAAGAGTTAGGTTGATTAGAATATTGAGGAACGATGACTTATTCACCATTTTTTATCACGATTTTTACATGCCAAACAAGATGGGAATCAGACCATCTTAATGCAACAAAACTAAGATATTGCTATCATAAACGTTTCATATTATCAGCAGCTTTTACGATAGCAACATCGTTAAATACTTACTTTTAATGAAATTGCAAGAGCCATAGATGTTTGATTGAAAATTGGAACATTGCTAATTGATGCAGACTTTCTTATACATAAAAAAATTAAAAAAAACATCTTTACAATCCGTTTTATTTCACAGTAGTAATAAATTGTTGTCATGAGAGGTTAGAAACATATCTAAAATTATTATATTAAATTATTGTAGATGGAGCAAATGAAGTTATGTTTAAGATTAATCTCCGTTCCAGCTCTTGTAGAAATGGCGGGAAAATCTCTCGTAGAAAATTGTTTATGCTCCATCTTGCTGTCATTGTCCATGGTAAGTATGACTGAAATTATTAACCACAAAATAAAATTCCTCAATGTTTGATATGTATTGATTGTACAAGAAAAGAAAAAAGAAGTAACCACTTCACAAGGATAGCAATGTATGATCATGTCAATAGGTAAAGATTTTTCTGTGATAACAGCTGGGTTGACTGGGATAATTAGGAAATATCACTTATTCAATATCACCAACCTTTCATACGATGACCGAGATTAGAACCCCCAGACTACCATGGTTTGATGTAACCAAATTAAGTCATTCAAGTGTTCTGACTTGCTGGACTACAGCCAGTTCTGTAGTTAAGTATATTATAAGAAAATTTTCTGTCCACATGAACAAATGTATATCACAGATGAGTTAATTAAAGATTGAAGGGTGTCAAATTCTGTGATTTCTTTCTGTGTATTATTTAGGTAATGTGTGGTACAGGAGATTTACGTGTATTGAGATTATGTCGTATGCTACGGAAACGTGTTGGTTTACAGCACGTCTACACTACGTATGGTTCTCATATGGCTATTTCCATGGCAACAGGATTGTTATTTCTAGGTGGTGGAAAGTAAGTTTTTGAATATTTAAGTCAAGTCAAGAATACTGTTACTATTTTGATTAGATGGTCATTATATATGGTGGAGTAAAGGTATTAACTCACATCAGAGTCTGATGTATTGTGCCAGCACTAATGAGGACATCTTTGTATTTATCTGCTGAGTCAATCTTTTTGTAGAAATTAAGGAACTGTTTATATTTATGTGGACAAATTTAATTATTTTAACAGAAAGATGAGAATTTTGTGGAATTTAGACTCTTCTATATTTTTCAGGTATTCTCTAAAAACAACGCCAGATGCTATAGGAGTTATGTTGTGTGCTTTTTACCCACGATTCCCTACTCATAGTAATGATAATAGGTTGGTTAGTTTCTTTATTTTACTTCAACAGAGATTGTAAAAAGGATTTCCAAACTTTTTATGTTTATTTTGGGGCATTGATAGAATTGATTTGCATTATTCCAATTTTCAATCAAACATCTTTGAATTCAATTAAACTAAAAATATCTGTTTTGTGATGTAGCTATAAGATATGCCCTGACATATCCCTGTCCCTGATACATATAACAGAAATTATTTAAACTTCTTTACAATCACTTTAAGCTTAATGTCCCAACTCAGATAAAACTGCATCATGAGAGTTAATCTAACTATTGTATTTGCAGGTATCATCTACAAGCATTCCGTCATCTATATGTATTAGCAGCTGAACCAAGGTTAATTTTACCACGAGATGTTGATACCGGTCTGACTACCTACGTACCAGTACAAATTAAGTTTAAACCTTCACCATGTTATAAAACTACAGAATTAACATATGATACTTACGCACCCTGTTTATTACCTGAATTACATCTTCTAGAACAGGTAGGTGATTTCCCTTTTTATATATACAATCATGAAATGAGGTATGGTTTTGTTGTCACCTATCTCCTTCGGTCCATCTATTCATCCGTCTAACCATCCACAATTGCATATAAACTTTTAAAAGAATTTGCAAACTTAAATAACTAATATAGAAATAACCAGAAAATTATGGAATCATTTAGATCAAAAATTTCAAATCAAAATCAGGACACTGTCCTTCAAACCAACCTTGTGTGTTTTCGTTATAATAAGTGCACTTTTTATCATCATGTTTTTAAGACAAAGAGGGAAACCTGAAAAAACCTGCAAGTTTTTGATTATTAAGCTGTGTCTAATTAGTTTATTGATATCATTAATAATATTATATCTGTTACAGGTGAATATACTAGGACCCAGATATTGGCCTGTTTTATTCCATGTTGATAAAAACTGGTCCATTCTCAAGTAAGTTTCAAACTGTTTGTCAGATTATTTAATCTTATATATTTGAAAGAAAAGAAAAGAAAAAAAAAAAAACATTATTTAAAGGATAACAACTGAGGTTCACTAGGGATCTTTTCTACCTCTTATACTTGATCTTTCACAGTTTATCTGTCTAGTCTTATGGCTGGTTCAACTGGAATTATGAAGAAAGAAGACCTCATCTAGACCACCAGAACTTTAAACACTGACTGGTTATTCTGATGAAAATATATCATTTCACAATAACACCACTTTTTTTTTTTGATTTGTAGATCATTATTGGAAAACAACCAAATATTATCAGTAAAACAGAGAGCTGGGCATCTTTCATATGTTGAAGACCCACAGGTGAGTTTTAGTTTAACCAATGTACATAGTTATGTGAACTCTCAAAATACGAGTTAACAAAGCCAGTTGTAGAATCTTTTCAGATGGAATAACTCAGTGGTTAGTAAGTTGGATTGTTGTTGGCTAGAGACTTAGGGTTTGAATCTTTCTCAAGGTTAAAATTCTGATACCACTGCCAGTGCTTCTGAATGTCAGCCAAGTGTCAACTGTTAACCCCACCACCAAATGACCTTTGGGTTATAGGATTACAGACAGTACTGTAGTTTTCTATCCTACTGAGAGTTACTGAATAACTAAAAGAATATACCGGTACTAAGATGTTTTTCAACCCTTTACAAATCTAAATGTAATATTTCTGTTGTGTATTTTAGGGTTATAGAAGTATTTTAGCGAAATCCTTGACATCTGATCATTCCAACCATGGTGTAACAGACGTAAGTTGACAAAATTTTGGTCTATACAACTGCAAGTAAATGTGAAAATCATATAACCTGTTATACAGCTCCCATAAAGATAGCCTTGATATATTAGAAGGCCTGTATTTTGCTTCCATCAGTTCTGTCTAACAATTATTTACGAAGTTTTCTTGTTTGAAAGTCATATGACACCTGTAAGCAATCTTTTATCTTCCTTGTAAGAGTAGAATGCCTTGTTAGATAGCACAATTTTTGGCTCTTAACAACATTTTACTTTGAAAATGTAATAAATTATACTGAAAGTGATTAATTAGTGTTTATTTACAGCCAGAAGTTATAAAATCTTTCACCTCAGATAATAGAATAACAACATTATCTGAAATATTCCTGACTCCTAAACATTCTCAGGTAAATATTTTCACCATTCTTATCACTTTTGCGATTTTGAAGTCATTTAATGCTTAATTTAGTGGAATTGCAAAAACCACAGACATCTGAAAAATGGAAGGGTGCAAATTGGTGGATTATCAGTGTCCCTGATACACTTGAAAGTTGTAGACCTCTTTACATTCCTTTTAATATTGAAAATGTAAACTTGTCTAAAGTGATGTTTGGTCTGTCTGTTACAGAATTATGAGAGAGTACAAGAATTATCATCGGTATTATTTGATTGTGTAACACAAGAGAAAACAGAATCTATATCTTGTCATTTGATATTACAACAGGTAGGCCTCATGTTATTATCTTTCATTGTAGTTCTATAGTTAATTATGTCCTGTGGTATGCCTCATGTTCTCTTTATAGTACTATAGTTAATTACCTGGCCGTGATGGCTCAGTTAGTTGGACACTTGCTTGCTTACATTAACTTCCAGTGTTCTGTCCAAGAATTTCACAGTAGCTATATAACTTATAACATTGAGAGTTATTTTATCTGTGTGTAAATTTTGTATGTGATGTTATATTTTTATTTTATGGTTCATGGTGTAGATATTTGTTTCAAATGTAACGTGATGTCTAATTTGAAATTTATTCGATATCCCTTTGGTGCTGGCGATGCTTAAATCACAATTGAAACAAAAATTAATAATTTTTTAAAATTCTGTCACTAGCAATAGGCTTAACCTAACCATTAGAATTTTACTCAAATTTTACTTCTATTTTAAGTTAATCCAGGAAAGTGAGCATTGCTATGATACGTTTGGTATAAACCAGTTAAAATTAATATTAGGGTATTATACGAGTTGCCATCGGTTACCATCCACAGTGTCGTCTGATACATCATATAACATACTAGAAACAGAATTCTTATTGGGTTTAAAATCACGGCTAGAAGATAAACTGACTAGATGGCAGAAAGGTAAGTTATTTTCTTTAGAAAAGGTGTCAGATTTTCTCACCTTTCGCTTTAATGATATAAAAATACATAATACTAACTATCCAAAACAGTTTGACAAAATATCGAGGGAGTATATCAATTATAAATGAGTAAGTATTTCATAATGAAAAGTGGTAATTGTAATCTGGTCAAAGTTCATCTGGAAGCATATTAACTAGAGAAGAAAAATCCTAATTCTCAGAATAAATACAGGGGCCTTATTCTTGAAAACTTTTTGGCATTTCAGTCATCTGATTGGTCAATCACTAAAATTGATTTTAGATTTAGGTTTGTTATCCAATCAGATTACTGTATTTCTCAAAATCTGGATTTTATCTTAGTAGTTTAGGAGAATAGAGACCTAGAACAAGTAGGAATAGAGATTACAATTGGGAGACATTGTTTTCATCTTCCTCAAAATACAATGGACATCTTGTACTCATGTGTATATATATATATATATTAATATAGGTATATCTTTGTTTAACTCTAATGTTTCCTATTTTTGTAGAAAATACTGAAATGATATTGAAATATATAAAAAATAAAGAAGTAAAAGGAGAAGAGATTGGTAATTTATCATCATATCTTACCTGGTTCGATTTCCCATCTCCAAATCAACTAGCAACTATTTTATCAGGTCAGTCAAATTATTTTACTTTAAAGTTTAAATATTCACATATAGCACCTTGTCGGAGAGTTCTGAAGAAGTTCCGTCTTCTCCAATTCTGACCTCAATCAAACAGTACACATACAGAAATAACATGATCAAAATATACCCTTCTATTTCCTTTCTTCACCCTTTGAATTCTGTCTACACTTACTATTTTTTCGCTCATTGTAAACCCTGTTCCAACCTGTTCTATTAAACATCGAGTTGATTCCAAGAATCCTGAACGTGCAGGACTCGCCAATCACGCCCCCTTACAGAATCAATAATTGTTTTTCAATATATTCAGCCATCCCTGATATCATTATTACCTAATGAATGCTAAAAACTTTATGACACACCCACTGATATGCAACTGTTCAGCAGGTTGAGATTCAAAATATGGCAGCTCAGTGGTAGGGCTAAATACAGTAGCCTCTCATAAAGCATTAAGAGAATTCTTCCACAACAAAATTAAAAAAAAATTAATTTGATTTGCTGCATTCTGATACTTCATATTTCAGAGCAAAAACATAAAAAATTATATTTATAAATCTGTTAGAAATGAAGAAATGATATATTTGTGGGTACACTACATCTGTCTAGTGGTGTAAATGACATATCTGCATTAGGGACACTGAAAGCATCAATACTAACCATTCTAATTATCAATAAGATGTCTGTGGTTCTTGTGGTTTCCACTGTGCTTTATGATGCAATTATCTCAAAGACCTTTAGATAAGCTACTATTGACAACTTTTGTGATAGTGAACTCATACACTCTTAAGCATTTCTAGAATTACAGGAACCACAGACATCAAGTTGGACAGTTTTGCATGATGCAAATAAGTGACCATTAGTGGGGCCGATACACATAAAAAGTTAGAAAACCACTGTACGACCTTGAACTCATGTTGTTAAAGTTAAAAATGTGTTTATATTTTAGCTGAGCCTAGTTTACCAGTACTGTGTAGTGAAATGAAAGGACTCAGTGTGTCCACAGCCAGAAAAATACTAGCTACTGTTAATAGTTGACAGCAATATTTCTTTGAGAATTCACAGACAATCTGAAAGTGCTACGTGATGGACAGAAGGAATATTAGCTATCGTATGAACAGTGCTTCACGAGAGAGTAACAATCATTTGGTTTTGTGGTGTTGAAAATTTTACGTGACATTATATGCTTGGTTGCTTCAAACAAATGGTCGTTGTGGGTTCTAATCTTGGTCGGCGTTTGAAAGTCTGATGACCATTGATAAGTCATCTTTCCTCATAATTCCAGTAAACCCAGCTTTAAATGAGTACGAATAATTCTGGAAAGATCTATTGTAAGAGGTCTAGCCAAGGACAAGATGGAAGTAAGATCGTAAAGCGTGAACCTTTGTTGTCATCCTTGTAGAAATCTTTTGTCTTTTTGTTGTATCTGATTCACATCACAATTCTGTTTGAAATCAACAGATAATCCTTACTAATGAATACATTTATTATCACATAATTAGGTTATTACTTATTCTTGCAACATCGTATTTTTAAATATGTTCATGAAAAAAATGATTAGACAAGCTCAGTTTTGTGTAAATGCAGTTTAATTAGAATTAGACTAAACTTTCATTCTGTTTTTTTTATTAGCTTTTATTTTTAATAAAGCGACTACAGTTGGAGGGAAGTCGAAGTCTTGAGGGTTCGTCAAATTGATCTTTTGACCTAAGGCGATGACGACTGCGTTAACCAATCAAATTTTTACCACCCTCCAGCGCTGGCATTTTGTGACGAAGTGTTTATCAGGTTAGGTCAAAAGGTTAATTTGACAAACGTTCAAGAGTACTGTCTTTAGACCCTAACTGAAGTGGTTATATTATAAATAAAACCTAATAAAACAACGGAACGAAAAGAAATAATAATAGGACTAAGGACGGAGTGTTTGTTGTTAAAATAGTCATGTTACATATTAAAGATATATAAATTTCAGATAACTTTGTTTGATTGATCGACTGAATTATACATTAAAGAAGACAGTGGTGGAGGCATGTTCATTAAAAGAATTTTGAGCCTCGACTTGGGTCATGAGTCTTGGCCATGAAATTTTGTCCTGGAAGTATCTCCATTAAAATATGGTGTGTGTTGCTAGCAAGGCAGAGGATGCTTCCTCTTCCTGAACACCTGATGCCACTGTAGCACTGGGTTTGTCAACTGAATGTATATTGTGTTCATTAATACATAAACTACCTAAATACAAACTGAACTGGCCTCCGTTTCACTAAAGTGCATAAGTTAACGACAAAATATTCAACTACGATCATCTTAAGCATCTTACGCATGTTTCACTAACAAACTTACAAAGATCTTAGCTACGAAGGACCTAGAAATGTTATTTGACTGCATTTAAAATATATCATTTATATACCTGATAGACAAACAAAGGCTAGAAAAACTTTTGAATCTCAAAGAATTTGAAAAATACTGCCTGACCTCTTTAGCCAATTAATTTTGTATGACTTGAAATATCAACTTCAAAAAGTTGTAGTCTGGCTGACGATACTGCCAACAAAAAAACAAAAATTTATATTATCATTTTACAGAGGGCAATTTTCGTGGGTTATTTTCACAGGAAATTTGGAAGTTATTCTGAGACAAATAACATAGCTTTAAAATTTTATCTTGAATAGTTTCGAAATGAGAGAAAAATTTTAATTTGTCGAATAGTAGATATATTTTTTTAATTGTGATCTCCCATTACAGTTGAAAATAACAAAATATTTGGCTAATGCTGCTGTCCTGGTGAAATTTGTAAAATACAATGTAAAGTCTTGTCTTGAGTTTCAACAACTGGCACTGGCACAAGAGACAAAAATCTCCAGTCGATCGTTTTCCATCTTGTTGATCAAGCAAGATTCAAGTCGGAGACAAAAATCTTCGACCAAGACCGCTTGTTTGCGGGCACCTTTAGAATTCAATCTAATTAAAATATAAGATGAAATCCAAAGTGACTTCCAGAACTGATCACCTCCATTACTGTGAGAAACAACCAGGTTCTTCTTCATATACCAAATAAAATGCCCAAAACTTGATAAGTTATAATTTTTGTATATACAATATCACAGTTTGTGGTTTAACAGAGATGATTAAAATGATAAAATAAATAAAACATCTTTCAACACTTGCTCTATTTAAAGGGGCAGTAGCGCCATTTTTAAGGGTTCATTTTGGTCTTAAATATATGTAACAAGTCTTCAGAAGTACTAGAAATAATTCTTTAAAAATTCTTCAAACTAGGAATTTTACTCACTATTTCTATATATCACAGAGTATTTTAAATTGATGAGTCGTCATTTCAACATTCAATCGCAGATAATTCAGGACACCATGAATTTGGAGGCTCAAATATCAATGGTGAGCTGTGAACACTATTACTTATTAGCTCAACTAAGACTTTTGAGACTAAAGTAAAAAAAAAAAAATGGCACATCTGTCCCTTTAACTCATTTCACTGTGATGCTTTTAACATTTACTGATACAGTTCACCATTATTGTGGTTGGTGCTTTTTGACAATGATATTTTGACAGGTGGGTCTATAGAGGAAGTAAGATAAAAATAGAATGCTCATGTTTTAGATCTCTAGATGTGATTATTAGTCTCTGAGCCTCCGTTTCAAACCATTAAACTTCTGACAATGCCTCTGTTGTAATTTGAGATGCTGCAGTTAGCTGCCTACTATTATGATCTGAAAATAAAAGATAACTCAAGTCAAAAATTAATTAATATGAGCATCTTTCAGATATTCAGGATTTCCAGCAATATTTTAAAATTTGTTTGTAAATTGATATTATTGTAGAACAACGTATTGAAATAATGATGATATTTTGGTTTGTCTACTTGTCAGCTCTGGGTTAAGCTTTACAATGTCACGTGATTACAAACCCTTGATGCCTTGATTAGGTACTTTTCCTATTTGAAAGTCACACCTGTAGGTAATTATTAAGGGCTGGTCCCTTACTATCAGTACTATTAAAGCTGGGTTCTCTTATTTTCATTTATGAAAATTAAAATGCTAATACCGGGTACTTATATTAATGGAAAGTTGAAGCGTTCTAATGACTTTTGACAGTTTGTCTCACATGTCCATAATTAATTCATAATTAGCTAAATTAGAAGAGAATTACCAGCAGAATTCCAATGAGTGACCGATCAAGTCATTTTTTGTTTATCCAGACTGTATACATACATGGACATTTATAATTGGTTAAAAGTCTTAATTATATGCAATAAGAACATAAAGATATGATTTAGAATACATGATATATTTAGAAACACCAATTCATCAAATAGTTTGGTTGATTTGACACTAAAAAATAAGGAAACCCATCTTTAAGAGCACTATTTTAAGCAATGAAAATATTTTATTATTGTCAATATTGAATAAAATGATAGAATCTTACCTGGAGCTGTCTCTCCACTATCTTCAGTAGTACTGTAATAAATATTATACCTCACATTAATATGTTTAGCATGACAACTCTGGTCTTACACAGTTACTAAGACATAGTATATGATATTAACACTGTAAAGGGTTGGATATCAAATATCTAGTTTCATGGAAGTTCATCCTGATGTATTTTCAGGTTGCCAGTGTTTGAGAATTTTACAATGATCAAAGCCAAATTTTTTATTTGGTATCTATACAAATTTGAACCATTAGTGAATCCATCAAGACATTACCTGATATTCTACTATGTCCCTGTGTCCTACACAGTACCACAATACAGTCTTAGCGTAGGCTTTCTCTTTGTAACTTAATTGTATCTCTCTTCAGTGATCAGTGATTTTTCTGAAGCCTTTCTTACTGAGAGAAAACATTTAAGATCACCAATAAATCATATAAAACAGTTTTTGACTATCAAGAATAAAATTTGTCCAAGAAATACTTACGTCTTGCCGTCTACCTCTCCAGTTTCATTTTCTTCATCTTCATTCTCTGCCCCGACCGGTGTTAGTGTGACAGAGTTAAACTGATTATAGGGTTCACCTAGTATACCAACACTTAAACTACCCATTCTAAAATAATCATAGATCAAGCTTTATAATCACAACCCAACTGAACTGTAATATTTTCAAGAGTTGAGATTCATGTGATGCCAGTTAGAAGCTTTGGTCTGATCCTCATTTTTTGGAGGGTGTTTTATAACTTTACCATTGCACAGACCCTTAGATATTATTATTGGCTATACAATACTGACGTGTAATGAGAAACCTACCTGTATCTTTGTATTGTAATATTGAGATTATCTTCCATTGATAATTCTTCTTGATCTCCTAAATCTTCATTATGTCCAATACTATCATTACAAAATATTTTTACATATAGTTTCACATAGTATTTTAATAGGGCACTGGTCAAAAATTTGTCTACTACATAATAATTTTTATTATATCATGGTCAATTCTTATGCTTTGGTGCTGTTCTCTTCCAAGTTATTAGGAGACTATAGATTGTATGAATCCTTACAGAAGTTTGTTAACAATAATAGAATTTAATGCATACACTTACCTTGCATGAGGCTTTTTTACGAACAACCAATGTGCCTCTTCTTTTGGTGAAGGTAATAGGGAAACAATGGCTGGAGATCTTTGACTGTAAAAATAACCAACATAAGCTTATTTTACATGGGAAAAATATTTTAACTCATTGCTTGTGTCAATGAATTCATATAAATCACATCCTTCTGTTCTACAAATTCTTTAAATAGTATGATAACTTATTCTGTTTCAATGTCTATTTGACTTGGAGACGCATGAGATTAAAATCATTATATTATTAATTAAAATCTTGAGATACTTACTTGACTATTGACTTGATAGCAGGCCTCTTCCTACAAATAGATAACATTATATTATAATGACATACACAGTGGCTTTTTTAGGGGTAAGGCCATGCCCCCCTCAAGCCTGTGAAAGATCTTTAAGCTCTCATTAATCTCCCGCCATCTGGAATCTATTGGCTTTGTGGGGTCCCTTCAGAACTCCGGCCTCAAGGGACTTCGACCCTTTGGCCTGAATGGAGAGACAACTCTCATTTTTGCCCAACCCCCTCGTCAAATTTTCTAGATACGCCCTGGCCATATACACAAACACATCTGTCTTATTGTCAAAAATTTTAACTTTTCTTTTTGTCTCAAAGTTTAAAAATTCTGGATCAGAAACTTAAAAACAAACTTACGGATGTAATCTACGATATTCAGCTGGAGTTAATTTTACTTCAGTATTTTCTTTTTTAACCTCTTTTTTCTCATCTGTTTCTTTTTGTTCTAGAAAACAAGAACTTATGAGGTAAATTTTGAAAAGATAGAGGGTCTACTCTTTTTCAACTTCTAACTTTAAAGATATCTTGAACGTGCACAACCTGAAGCACACAATGCCTCAGTCTTTTGTCCCATCCCAACTTTCCATGTCAGCCCCTCCAACCTGCATCTAGAAAAATGGGGTGAGCATTATTTGACAGACTTTCCAGATTGACTCCAGGGTAAGAGGAGGGTAACACTATATATACTCACTTTCTTCTTAATTATACAGTATATCATATACAATCTTAGAAAGACAATCATATTTACCTTCTGGAGCATATTTGACTCTAATAGCAGGATTGAATGTATCTGATCTTAACATTCTACAAAATAAAAATATTTTCAAGTTTGAACACCGTAATTTACAGGTCATTTCCTTTTTTATACAGGCCCCCTTTCCTCCAAAATCTCAGTCTCAAGTGTGGAATTATAAATTGAGAAATAGCAAATAGACTTGTGATAAAAAAAATTTTTTTTGTGAAACAGACCCGTGAAAATTGAATGGAAAATTCTTGTTACTTTAATCAATAAAAAATTCAGTGAAATACCTTCCAATTTCTTTTTTCACTGTTTCAAAATCTTTTCTTCTAAATGTTATCCACACCACAAATGTACAGAAATTATAAAATGACTGAAAACAAAAACAGTATTGGTTGTAACACAAATCAGACATGTAAATTGCATGACAAGGAATCATTAATGGAGAAGTCAGTACTCTCTAGAGAAGCAGACAAAATGTTAGTTAACCCTACCTCAAACATTGATCTATCTTGATATGTTGATGATACTCTAGACCTACAAAATACAAGATCAAATCATTATTTTAACAATGTCTTTTTTAAGGGATTATAAATGGGCTTACTTAATATTTTATGTGCATCAAGGACACTGATATTTAAAAAATGCAAATAGTATCCATTGATGGCCCAGAAACACATAAAATAACTTAAAAATTCCTTGACAACCCCTTAAGTTTGAGAAGTAATAAAATTTGAAATTCTGAGGTTTGGGATGTAAGGTTTTCGAATTCATCGACCAACACTAAATTTAGAAATAATGAGAAACATAAGAATGGTGACTTACATTCCACAAGACATGTGATGTTGTTTCTCCAGACCCAGTCCTAACACGAGTATACAGTACGCTCTTCCTAGTAATTTCTGGGCTACTGCTAGTCTTTCACACGATTCAGCGTAGGCTTTCTTCTCAGCTAAACTTGGTTCTCTATTAGAAATAGAATCAAAAACAATATAATAGAGATGCTAAACTGATTTGACAGACATAATACAACTTACAAAATGAACATCCTAGTACAAACAAAATCATGGATAGAAATAAAACCTATCTGAAACTTAATCAAAGGTTTGCTAAATTTGACATTGAGCATACCAAAAATTATAAATAGCCTAAATTTACAGGAAACTTAAGGATAGGATAGGACAGAATATCAACAACATAGTACAATAGAAATAATATAAAAATTACTTACATGTACATAGGATTCTTCTTGTTGCCCTGAGCTAATTTCTCAAAGAATCCATTAAAATAAGTAATCAGATTTAATAGAAAATGATCAAACTCATCTGTACTGAAATAATAAAGGTTAATAAATGATAACACACAAGATAGAGTTCTAACTATTTGCTAGCCAGTATCTAAGCCAATTTTTTTTAAACAGAAACAGAATTGAGTTGTATTTCTTACTGAATTTGTGGTGACAACAAAGGAAAACTGTAACAATAAACAATTATTCATTTAAAAGCTGAAGCTATCTGCAGCAAAATTACCAGATGTAGAAGATGCTTCAATATTTTATTTACCTGTATAACATATTGAAAGAATCAGGAATAACATCAACTTCTGACATCATACTATGTGCTACCCCTAAAATATATATCATAATATCATTTTCAATAGTTGTTTTATAAAAAACATCATCCCCATAACATTTATAAAACTGCATGTTTCATGATTACAATATCAAGTATTGTTCACACAAAGCAAAGCATCCAAGTATGATGCATAAGCTTATATAGTATTTATCAAGATTTGATGTTTCACATGAATGTAATATAGAAATGCATCAAAATATCAGGCTTACGTTTGATATCTTCCAACATAACCTTATCATGTTCAGTATGTCTACGATTAGATTTAGGTGATTTACTATTGTTGGCTCTTCCAGCTGCCAGACCCCCACCTTTTCCTGCCATCTGTCTTGGGATACCGGAAGCTGTCCTAAAAGACAAGAAAAAATGTTGTTAACATATAGGTTGTATTTTATCCTAAGTATGTTTTCTTTTAATGTAAGATTCACAGTTGCGATTAATTCTTTAATCTTTAGGTTTTTAAGAAACAGAGTCCTACTCCTTGATTTAACACTCTAGACAATAATCTATCCTTGGTTGATAGATGAAAAGTTAACGTTCACTTCCAGTCTTATCTGTTCTATATACAGCCTAACTTTTTGCCCTTGATCACATGTTGAAAGCCAAGACACATTTTGTTCTTGATCAAGACAAAGACACAAGATTCTCACCTTTCCATTCTATTTTTTTCATGATGACCTTTATTCTTTCTTCGTTTATCTTGTTTATCGGGATGATGGCTGTTAAAATTAATAAAAACAATATTTTATATAAGTTCCAACGTTTCGTAATCTATAGATAAAGATAAATCCTTATTACAACATTTAGAATTGGAGGGGTTTAGTTTCCAAAATTGCAAAAGAGCATAGATGACTTTTAAGCCAAAGGTCCAACAGATGAAAAAATCCCCCCAAAAAAACAAAAGTTACAGGTATTTCTAGTCTTACTGTATCTTACTGTAAACCAGTCTTTTAATAAGCTTCTTGACCACCATAAAGTTCTAAAATTTCAGGTTTTATAGTGAGTAAATATAATTAGGAGTGTGCATATGTTTCTTTTCATTCTATCTATTCAGTTTGTAGTAAAGTAACCCACCTGACAAATTCCAGTGTATATGTTTCTTCCTTCCAGACCCACTTTCCAGTTGTTGGTTGGAGGTTCTACAAATAATATGTCAATAGGTTACTTCAATGATAATTGATTATTCCAATGCTGCACAAACTGAGTAACCCTGCTAACTAGCGTAAATAATAAGATAAGACAGGCAAAGGACGAAATTATCACATATCTTAATGCAGAATTCTTTCATAATCATGTAAAAATGGCCGAATTCTAACACGCCACAAGAGAGCACTAGAGGAAAGTTCAATGTTCATAATCAAGAAGTATTTTTTTCCATTCCATTCCATTTTTTAGCCATCAGCTATTACAATAAGAATTTGAGTACTGCATCCCTTTAAATTCATTCAAAAATAGTAGCGACATTTTCATAAAAACTAACATTTTCGGTAATTGTCGCAACCTTGGCCATTTCTTCTAAAAATTATGAAGAAAAAATAAATTATTTAATTTCACTTCATTTGGCAGCCATGATGGCTTTTGTCATGGTAACAAGTAAGGGAAATAACTCGCATTATATTTATGGTCAACCATCGCTGAGAAAATTTTATTGTGAGTTTGATTTGGCTGTCCACAAAATAAGGAAGGGAAATAACTCGCAGCATTATGTAACAAGAAAACAAAACAACAACTTATTTCTTCAAGACCCGTTGACCCGTCTCACTTGATCTAATTACAGTTCTGTAGATAATAACTAAAATACTACACCAATGTCTACGACAGCTAAAATCACATTGGCCTCCTCTATAGTGTTTACTGTCAGTATGATAGCATTTGTGAATTATAACCATAGAGCAGAAAGAATACGAATGAGGCAAGGAGTGGATCGAGACATTGAACGTCAAAAGAGAAAGGAGGACAACAAACGATTGCTTGATGACAACATCAAAGCTTCAAAAGAACTGAAAGTTGTGTGACGTGTAGAGATGTTAACTAAAAATTGATTTGAATTGGTATTCGGGCATTAAAACAGACAGGAATCAAATGTTTGAAATTAAAATTTGGAATGAGCTCGTTGATTGCTGGATATTGAAAGAAGAAGTAATGTCATTGGTTTTTCTTCTCATTGACACTTTGTTTTTAGGCTGTAAAATTTGTGTTGATAAAATAGACAATTGTTATAGATGAATAAAGATACAAAAGACGTTGAACAGTGTCAAATTAAAATACAATGTGTTTTACTATAAGTATAAGTTATAGAATTGCGTGTTTTAGATGCCTTTCTAGAGACTAAATAGAGAGTAAAGTATTTGTAATAAACTTTTTGTACAAAAGCCTTTTTGAACCAATAAATGAATATAAGACCATCCTTTCTATTTTTCAGATTTTTATGTTGAAATTCCACATCTTTCTATATCACAGAAAAAATTGTTTCATAAATGAGCTTATTTATCCAAAGTAAAGACCAGAGATATGTCCATCTTGTCGGACTTAAAAAGCTATATCCACAGTTTCTGCAGCTCTACTAGGACTTGAGCATGAACCTTGGTGTCTCTGACTGAATGTCTTCTTGCGACGGAAATCAAATGAATAATAAAGGTTGGGTATGGGTTAATCTGCAACAAGCATATTGTTACACAATAGATATTTGTATTGCATGGAGTCTTGGTAAAAGTCAGCGGGTTTCGAACTTCCTTTTTTCTGTGGTTGTTCAACATAGAGACATAACTAGATTTGCTCTAGACCCAGCTATATTTTTAACTATACTGTTGATATCCTCAAATTGATATATCTATAACATTTGCAGTGATCTGGGTAGCAAATTTTCTTAATCAGGAATAAATGTGGAACATGATGTCTTTAAGGTCAAGAAAACCACAGAAGAGA